TTCATGATATGGGGCTTGTCTGAGGTGAGGTCCACCCAGCCTCGGAGCACAAGGCCCTGGGATCAGAACAAGATGGAAGATAAAGTCATTGGTCTCACAGAACCTTGACCCAACCTGCTCTCCCACCTCATGTCCCATCCCTGTCACGCTGCACCCCGAGACCCTGCCAGGCACAACTATTTGCAAACCCCAGGGCAGCCCTGCTCCCTCTCACCACCAGGAATTCACTCTGATTGCTCCTGTCCTGGCACAGCCCTCCCAACCAAAACCTTTCACCTGATTAACTACCACTAGTCTCTAAAATTCAACCTAGGAGGACCCTCCTGTCGAAGACCTTCCATGATATTCCAGACCCCTCCCTGGGACCCCTGGGGCTCTGCTACCTCTACTGACCACTCTCACCTGTCTTGTCATTGCCTATTTACTCTACACTGGGGTCAGGAGGCCACCATAGGCCACTGTGCATGGCCACTCCTGCTCCCTCCACACCTTAGCCCAGTAAGGGGAGGTGGGAATGCCTTCTAGGGGGTTAACAGGAGCCCTTCTGAGCTCTAGGGCCTCTCCGACTCTGCTCCAGCCTTCATCTAGCCTCTGCTGGCAGACAGGTGGCCAGACCTGCAAGGTGAGGTCAGAGGGGCACTTGGATAACATTGCCCTGAAGCATCCCTCATGCCCTAAACTGGTGTTTCTCAACTCTTTCCCATCGCTCCCATCCTAAGGAGCCTTTTCAGACCTTTTCCCTAATCCTTTCCTCTCCCTCCAAAACTTTTTAATATCACACATATAATATTTGTTTATGCAGTGTGTAACTCTGTGTTTTATACATCAACAGTAAGATTTCTTTTCACTCCCTCCTTGGGGTACCAATTTTCACCCCCTTGGGGAGGGAGATCACCCCTGCTGAAGTGGTGACTACACTGAACCTAGATTGAGGCTTCAAACTCTACCCTGAGTCCCGTCCTACCACATGTGAGATCTACTGTATGCGCCACCATGGATATCCAGCAGACCATTGCTAAGAGGGAGGGTAGGTCCAGTGCAGCCAATTCCTCTTGTTTTCCCAAAGAGCCAGGAAATCTGGGCTTTTAGGTAAAGATCTTTTGCTTTCCAAATGTCGGCAACTAATTCAAGATTAAAAAAAAAATATAGTACAGGCCACAGAACAGCTGTCTGCAGATTGGACTCTGGACACATGCCAGTGTGCACTTGGCTAAACCCTGACACAACGTGGGTGGGGGCTCCTGGGAGCCCTGGGATGGTGTCAGTGCCCAGGTGCGGACCTCTCCCAGTCCCAGGGTGCTCCGCAGGAGCTCCCAGTTAACTGGTTCAAAAGGACCAGTGGGGATGTGTTTGGACACTGCTTTCTGCACCTGTTGTCCTCCTCATGCCCACAGCAGGTACCTCTCTGGAGTTGCTGGAGAGCTTCAAGTTGCGGTCGATGTACTCTCTGGCCTTGTCATAGTGGCCTATGAGCCAGAGGAAGAGGCCAGCATAGTACAGGGCCGTTGCGCTGGCGGTCTTGCGGATTTCCTTCAGGCTGCTCTCAAGCTCCTGAATGGCTTCTTGGTCTGGGAATCCGAGAGGGGGAAGAGGGCGAGTCAGAGTGAGGAGGGCCGCCTGGGCCTGCAGGATGCATTGAGGGCCCATCCTTCAACACGTGGCAGACTACTGTCAGCCTGGGGGCCTGGAAACCACAGGAGCCGCTGCTGCCTAGACTTGGGTTTGCTGTCTGAGGGTTATCTTTTCTCCCCGGTACCCAGCAGTTTGCCAAATCCCCCACCTCAGGCCCACAATCCATCCCGAGAAGAGAGATAGTTGTTTAGAGTGTGGAATTATTTATATCAGCTTGATTTGTTTCCACAAGGTCTTGGCGAAGGAAGCAGGATGTCTCCCCAACTCCTAGGATTTGGAAGGAGAGGACCTCTCCCATTGTCATGCTCTTTACCAGTGGCTCCCACGCAGCTGGATCTGGGCACAGGCCTTCCTTGAGGACCCCAAGGGGAGGGAATAGAAGCCACTCCTCCCTGGCTACCAGCCTGTGCGGTCACCAGTGCACCCACCTCCCGTGGCAGCCCTTGAGGGTGCTGCATCTCTGCAGTGGGGTTGTGTTCCCCCAGGGCAGTAGGCCTTGTTGGGCATGGCTGTACTCACCGATGGTTTCACAGCGCTTGTGAGCATAAATGAGGGCCATGATGGAGCACAAGGACACATCTGGATGATTCCGGATGCTCTCCAGGTTACTGATGGCATCCTGTATGTGCTCTGCAAAGAAGAGCGCACCTGGTTATGCTCTTGGGCTCCAGGCCCAGAGGGCAGGAGGTCTATGGCCACCACAGGGGAGCCCTTGTCAGAGCTGACCCAAGGCTTGGCACTACCTGAGTTCACCCAGAATCATTGGGTTAACTGGTCCAAAACATTTCTAATGACCCAAGTTCCCTGAAGGGGCTGCTGACACCATTGCCCATGCTGCCAGGTGCTGGAGGGCTTGGAGCTCAGATATACCTTTGAGTACTTGCAGGATGTGAGGCCAGGATTTGGGGCTGGGGGTCAGTTCTGAGAAAGGCCATCAGGGTATTCCCAGCTAGCTGCTCAAGAGCCACAGATTATACTTATCCCTCCATGTCCACTGTGGTTGGCCATGGGCAGCTCAGCCAGCCCTCAGCCCAGCACTACCTTCTGAATGTCAGCGAGTCAGCACCTGCATGAGGCTCACCCCTCCCCCTGCTCCTGTACCATACCTGTCTTGACCCATACCTACCACTTCCTCCTTTTCCTGCACTACCAGCTCTCAGTTTCCAAGCCTGGGATTCGTCCAATAATCATTCAGTCATGTCTCCCCACCCACTCACTTTCCAGACAGGGAAACTGAGGTGCAGAGCAAGGGTGGTGAGCTCTCTGATGTCTCAAAAGTCAGCTAGATAATGTATTACACAGCCATCTGGGGGATTAACCTGGGTGTAAGACTCTTTCCATGGCAACACGGCTGGGGTATAAGCAGGCATCCAGGTAAAGCCAGAGTTGCAGGGGCTAGGCAAGTGCCGGAGGCCATGAGGCCGACCCTGGCAAGTCCTTACCTTCCCTGAGGATCCCATAGGTTTTAAAGAACTGCAGGACAGGGTCATTGCTGAATTTTTCCAGGCCCAAGGCCGCGGCCCGCTGCACATGGCGGAAGTACTGTTCCTGGCTGTAGTAAATGATCTCAGCCTGTGGAGAGGAAGACATAGTTGCAACAGCCCCAGTCCCTTCTTTCTGTTCTGAACCACTTTCTCCCTGACTCCCTGCTCTTCCTCCATTCTGCAGAAGGAAGGAGGGAGAGAGAACATTCAGGCTTCATTTTGCTCTTCATCAGCCCCAAGAGTAGCTCCATGCAGTTCCCTGAGAAGGAACTTGGAGGGTTCAAAAGTGATGGAGAATTCAACTGAGGCTTTGTCTTAGGAAGGGAATGAGGGAAAAGAGAGAGCACCAATAATAACAAGTACACCACTAGTTAGAGTTGTAAGTTACTGTGTGTTAAACACTTGTTGGGAACTGTATCAAGGGCTTTACACCCATTATCTTATGTATTATTCTCTCCATATCCTTCACAGTTAAAGAAGCTGAAACCCAGGGAGACTATGGCTTGGCAAAGGTCATGCAGTATTAGGGGCTGAGATTTCAAAGCGAGGTCTCACTTCCCCTAAGGTTTGTGGGTGCTGGGCTTGGGGAGAGATGTGGTTGGCTTGTCAGTCTTGTGGGCCATATGAAAGAGCCCAGACATCATCCTCAGCGTAACAGGAATGGTTTTAAGTTGGAACGGTTTTAAGTCAGAGGAGGGATGTGTTCAGGTGTGTGTGTGTGTGTGTGTGTGTGTGTGGTGGTGGTGGTGGTGGTGGTTCTGCTGCTGGTGCTGGTAAGGGGACTGCTGGTGAACAGAGAGCTGAAGCAGAGAACTGTTTGGGGTGCGTGTATGGGGGGTACTGTTTCAGGTGCCCGCAGAGAGATGGCGTTGATCCTGGGCTAGGAGATGCAACGCAGTGGGTGCTGTCAGGGGACTTGTAAGAGCTGACATTTCCCGCTGATAGACAGGACCCGAGATGGGAACGGGGAAGAGTGAAGGCTGTAGGATCAAACAGCGGTGTGGTCTATCGAGGCGGGGGACTCAGAAGAGGCAGAGGCAGGGGAAGGGGAGAGGACGGCGAAATGACAGAGATGGGTTTTGGATACGGTGGTGGTTTAGGGGAGCTCGAGGACAGGACTAGGTGCGGACGCAGAGCTGGAGCTCAGGGTGCACGAAGAGCACGAGAGGAGAAAGATTCGCTCGCCGGGAACCGAGAGGCCGGAGGGGGCCAGGCCCTTCATTAGCGGCCGGCCCGGGACAGCGGGAGCGGTCGAAGAGGTCCCAGGGGAGCCGCGGGGCGCGGGGTCGGTCTCGGGGCTGGGGGCAGGGAGGCCCGGAGGGAGCCGCCAGGCCACGCTCGGGCCACGCACCATAAGGGAGTCATCGTTGCTCATCTCCGGGCGCCCGCGGCTCCGAGGCGGGGTCGGCTGCGGCGGCGCGGAACTGGGTTCCCGAGTCGGGGTCCCGGGCACGCCTCTCCCGGCCGGAAGTTGGAGGCGCGCGTCCTTGGACACGGAGGTCCGGGCCGGTTGCTAGGGGCGTCAGAGTCGGCGGCGCGGGAGGCGGGCGCCCACGTGACGAGGCGCTGGCAGTCGAGCGCCGAGAGGGCGAGTGCGCGCTGGTGGCGCGGGTCGGGCCGCGGCGAGGGAGGGAGGGCCCAGCCGTACGGGCCCCGGGCGCCGCCGCCATGGGCCTGGGCGCCAGCGCCGAGCAGTCCCCGGGCGGCGCCGAGGGCTTCCACCTGCACGGGGTGAGTCAGCCCCGCGGCGCCGGCGACCTTGGCGGGGCGCCCGCGCGGCCCCGAGGGCTCGCCGGATCGCCGGCTCCGGGGCGGCGGCGGGGTCTCGGCCTCGGTCCGCGCGCCGCGGCTCCCTGCCGCCCCCGCCCCCGCCCCCGCCGCCGCCCCCGCCCCGAGTGCCGGCCACGCGGGAAGCCCGAGCGCTCCTGGTCCGGTCGGGCCGCGCCGGGCTGGCTCTGGCGGGGAGGAGCGCACCGCGGCCCGCCCGGGCTCCCTGCTGCACTTAGGTCGTCTGTGGCTCGCCTCCTGCGGGGTCCGGGGGACAGCCTGCGGGGCCGAGACCCCAGCTCCCGCCCTCGGGTCCGGGGGGCGCGCCCCCGCCGCGGTGGGGCCCGAGGAGCCGTGCGCACCGGCCGGGGCGGGGGGCACGGGAGCGACCGGCTGAAATCCGCGGGGAGCCGCGGCCGAGGGGAGCCGCGGAGGCCTGGGCGCTGCGGAGGCGGAGCGGGGGTCCCGCGCTGCTGCTGCTGCTGCTGAGGGCTGTCGGAGCTCGGTTCCCCGCCGCGGGCCGGGAGCGCGGAAGGGAAGGACCAGGCCGGCCTCGGGGCCGAGTCGACGCGACCGAGGGCGGGGCTCTCTCGGGTCGGCGTCCGGGAGCCCCGGCAGAAGGGGCGGGCGCAGGGCGCAGGGCGCAGGGCGCAGTCGGGAGGGTCTCCCGCAGGATAACGGACAGCGGAGGACTCGAGGGCTTGGCAGGGGTCGCAGGGTCGCAGGGTCGCAGGCCCCTCGTCCGCGGCGGCAGGGACTGGCGGGCGCCGCCCTGGCAGGCGCAGGCGCAGGCGCTTTGGGCGCGGGAGACGCGCGGTGCACGGGACACAGCGTCCCGCGTGTCGAGGCGCTCGCGGTGCTCGGGCCAGGAGAGGCGGACACGGAAGACGTGGCGCGGGGATCGGTGCCGGGGAGGGGGGTGCGCACTGACGGGCGGCCTCTGGGGTGGACCAGGACCCCTCAGGGAAAGGAGGGGGCAGCGCAAGCTCCTTGCGGCGGAGCCTTCCCAGCGGAGGCGGGTGGCGCCGGTGGTTGGGGAAGAGCCGCAGAGGAGGCCGCTGTGCAGTCACGGGGCGGCCCGCAAGGGGGACAGGCCAGACTGTGTGGGGCCCTCGGGACATTTTCGTGGAAGCTGACATTACCTACTAAAAATTTTTTAAGGCTTTTATTTATTTATTCATGAGAGACACCAAGAGGGGCAGAGACATAGAGGGAGAAGCAGGTTCTCTGTGGGGAACCCGGTGTGGGACTCGATCCCAGGACCCCGGGATCACAACCTGAGCCGAAGGCAGATGCTCAACTGCTGAGCCAACCAGGTACCCATTTTTTTTTTTTTTGAGATTTTATCTATTTATTCATGAGAGACACAGAGACACAGGCAGAGGGAGACGCAGGCTCCATGCACCGGGAGCCCGACGTGGGATTCGATCCCGGGTCTCCAGGATCACGCCCTGGGCCAAAGGCAGGCGCTCAACCGCTGAGCCACCCAGGGATCCCCCCCCCCACATTTTTTTTTAAACACTGAAGAACACGGTGCGCTGCCGTCGATAAATACTGGCGCTCTCACTATGCACCAGGCACGTGCTGAGGTCCCTGCCCTCCCTGAGATTAGAGGCGTGGAGGTTCCCCAGGAGATGGTCGTTACAGGGCAGCCAGACAGAGCAGGCTCTGGGTTGGACTTCCCGAGGTCAGATTTCTGACTAATGGGGTACTTCTGCTCCTAAGTATTAGTACAAGGGTTAAATGCAGGGTAGGGCAGGTGGCGCAGTCCCCTGGCACCGAGCCAATCCTCAGCAAGTGTCAGCTGTTGTCACTTTAATCACATTAGCTTCCCTGATGGGGGAGCACAGCGGAAAGTGTTATGAAAGCAGCAGGCATTGTGGGGCTGTGGGGGTGGGGGTGATGGGAGCCCCCAAGAGAGAGCTGGACAGTGGGCAGCACTTGTTGGGGAGGCAGTGGGGGGCGGTGGCAGCCACATAGGTTACTTCTATGCTAGAGCCATAGTGGGTGATGGCAAGGCCCAGGACAAGGGCAGTGGGGTACAGCCAGAGAGGACAGGTCATGGCAGAGGGTGGGGAGAGGGCTGGGGGATTGGAGGCCTGAGCCTCTGGGCCTCCATAATGATAGAGGGCAGCTGACCGCTGGCTGGGTGGCATCGGCCTCAGGAGCAGGGACCCTCCCAGAGGGAGGCCTAGTGGCATGGAAGTGGTCCTGAGTAGGCTGTCCCTGAGTAACTGTCCTATGGCTTTCAAGAAAACACCTTGTTCCAGCTGTCCCATGAAGGGACGTGGCAGGGCTCAGAGCTCCCCTGTCACAGGCCAGTTGGGCTGAAGTCAGTTTCTGGGCTCACTGTCATTGGAAGCCACGGCAGTTTCCGGGGGTGGCAAGCAGGGGCTCAGTTGGCGGTGACATGGCCAGAAGGGAGTCCTAATTCCAGGGGCGAGTCTGCCTTGGTCCCAGGGCTCTGAGCAGAGGAGCTCTCCTTCGGCTTGGGGACTCCCAAGACTACAGGCAGGTGGGTGGTGGGCGGCAGAAGCCGCAGGGCCTTCCTATTGTGGAAGCATCCAGAACCTGAGGCCACGTGAGCCCTGTGTCCTCTGGGCTGAGGCCTGACCTGCAGGATATCCAGTGCTCACAGCCAAAGGCCTGAGGCTGTGGGGCCCACCGCAGGGTCTGGCTGGGGATAAAGACTGCATTGTTTGAGTGAGGCTCTGTAAATGGGGCCTTTGAGATGGATTTCCACCCCAGCTGGGAGGCCTGGTTGCTCTGTTTTTGGAGGTGGCAGGGAGTTCCTGGATTTGGGCAGGAGGCACTCTCGGGCTGGGAGTGGACACCAGGCTGTGAGGCAGGGATTCGGCCCTGCTCCCTGTGAGGCTCCCTCTCACAGGCTCCCTGCTCAGGCTCATCCCCGCCGGGAGGGCTGCTGCCCTTAGCCACACTCCTCAGCTCCCACGCCTGCCCGGCTGAGCTTGGATCTGTTACCACAGGCCTGGGGCCCCTTGGGATCTGGCCACAGATGCCTACCCTCTCTGTCTTTCTGAGCGCAGCCCTGGTTCCTTCTGTTCTGGGGCCCTCCCTTCCTGCCCACATCTAACCCTTTCTGGTAAACCTTCTGGCTTCCCCACGCCCCGAGCTTCCCCACAGGCCTACGCTCCCCTGTGCCTGTGTGGCCCTCTAGAAGCCCCCGGGCTGCCCTGGGCTCTCCTCCTCTGAGGCAGCTCAGGAAGCAAGATCAGACAAGAGCCGTTTCCTGCAGAGGAATGTCTGTGCCCAGGAAGGTAGCAAGAGAGGATGGAAGTACCTTGACAGTGGCCACGTGTGACCTGCCTAGGGCAGTCAGTGTAGTGCCCGCGTCCTTGCTGGGACACGGGAAGTGGTGATGGCTGGTCTCTGGAATCGGGGGCTGGGGGTCTCTCGGGGTGTCATGAGGTTGGTGCAGTGACTGTGGCCTCCTCTGTGAGACAGGTGCAGGAGAACTCGCCAGCCCAGCAAGCGGGCCTGGAGCCCTACTTTGATTTCATCGTCACCATCGGGCACTCGAGGCTGGTGAGGCTCCGCCATGCTATGTCTGCCTTGCTTGTGTGTGTGTCTGTCTGTCTGTGTCTCCTGTCCCACAGCAGGCCCCACCCTGCTCCTCCCTCCCTCTCCTTCTGGAGGGAGGCCTAGCCCATCTCTCTTAGGCCTGTGCTCAGCCTGATTGGGGCCCTGCCCTGCTCCTGACCTTTCTGAGGTATCTGGGCAGTGAGGGGACTCTTGGAGCCAGCCACCAGGTTTAAGGGGCCTGCCTCTCAGGGCATGAGAGGTATCAAGGTGGCCAAGGGGCATTTCAGTGAGGGGCAGCCCCACAGTGCTCTGGACCAAGCTCTGGACCACAGTGCTCTTTGTCATATTTCTAGGGGGCTGAGGGAGGGGGGGGTTAGTGGGGCTTAGGGATGGTAGGGGTTGCAGTGGTCACAGGCCCAGACCCCTACCCTGGCCCATGCCCACACCAGACCCTGCTAGGACAGCCGGCACTGAGGCCCTGCCTCGTCTCTCAGACCCAGACTTGTCTGAGTGGCCCCAACCCGGGGTGTGGGTGGGGAGCCTTGGAGTCAGCCCCGCTGCCCCCACAGAACAAGGAGAATGACACACTGAAGGCTCTGCTGAAGGCCAATGTGGAGAAGCCTGTGAAGCTGGAGGTGTTCAATATGAAGACCATGAAGCTGCGCGAGGTGGAGGTGGTACCCAGCAACATGTGGGGTGGCCAGGGCCTGCTGGGAGCCAGCGTGCGCTTCTGCAGCTTCCGCAGGGCAAGCGAGCACGTGTGGCATGTGCTGGTGAGTGGGCGCCGGGGAGGTGGTGCCTGAGCAGGGAGGCAGGAGGCAGGGGGTAAGAGTAGGATGTGGGAGCAACTGGGAGGTCCCTGAGGGCCGCCCATTATCACCTGAACCGTGTACCCTGCTTGTTAGCCAGGTGACTTTGGGCACCTTCTCACCCTCTAAACCTTGGTTTCTTGTTTTGGGAGGTAGGATAGCATCTGCTGGAGGGGTGCTTGTACTGCCAGAAGGCTGCTGCTGCTAGTCTTTAGAAATTGTGTCTTTTCTGGAATACTCTATAGTAGACCAGTATTGAGTCTTTTCTGGTGGGTCCCCTGAGAGCCCTTCTGGGCCTTGGGCTAGTGCCTGGGGGCTGGGTCTTCATGAATCTCAAGTGACTGAGTTGCACAAATGTTGCCATTAGTGTCTGTTCACACACACACCACACACACACCACACACACACACCACACACGAGATGTACATTAATTGATGGTGCCCACAATCTTGAATGCTTGGTCCCAAGGCTTGGTGGAAGGAGGGTGCTCTGAGCCGGGAATGACTGACCTGATTTCTAGCCTCTGTTGCTCACTGACTTCTCATAGGAGACTTCTCAACCTCTCAGCCTACCTCAGTTTGTCCATGAGTGCAGTGGGGGTGATGATTCAAATCCCTTGACATTTCTCAGGGAGATTGGGAGTGGTAGTTTCCCAAAGGAGGAAGCGTTCCTTGTACCCAGTTCTGCTCGCTACCCCCACGTCCAGCCCCTACGCAGGGGTCTTCAGCCACATACCTGCAGCAGTAACGGCACTGCAGTTGGGCGCTTACTGTGGGCCACCGTGTGATTTTCATTCTTCACCTATATTCTATTTGTAATCTCGGCAATCCTACGAGGAAGTACTGCATCTCCTCCTTCTAATCGTGAAACAGACACTACGGGGTTAAGTATTTGTCCCTAGTCGCCAGGTAGAGGTTGGTGGAGTCCAGGACTCCAGCTAGACTAGACGTCTAACCGGTCAGATTCCAGAGCTCAGGGCTGGGAGCAGTGCCGTGGTGCTGCCCTCTGCTGGGCAGGCCCTGCACCTGGGGGAGGTCTGGAGGTGAGGGAGCAGAGTAGGAGGTCCTGACCTGGAGACAGATGACAAGTGCTGCCCTACTCAATACCTGGAGAGGCAGCCTCCTCCATCCTCCCCACCTGGAGGAGCAAGATAGGTAGTTGGTGATTCTTTCTCCAGGACGTGGAACCCTCTTCACCTGCCTCACTGGCTGGCCTGCGCCCCTACACAGACTATGTGGTTGGCTCAGATCAGATCCTCCAGGAGGTGAGCAACCTTTGATTTGCCCTCCCCAGGCCCCCTGGGTAGGGTGTGGAGATGGTTGCTGTCCTTGAGGAGGGCCTCGTTGTGTTGAGGCATCCAATTCCAGTGCTGGGAGCGGGACTCAGGCGCTGGCTTTGTTGTAGTCCGAGGACTTCTTTACACTCATCGAGTCCCACGAGGGGAAGCCCTTGAAGCTGATGGTTTACAACTCCGAGTCCGACTCCTGCCGGGAGGTGACTGTAACTCCCAACGCAGCCTGGGGTGGAGAGGGCAGGTACTTCCTCAGTCGGAGGGCTGCAGGGTGGGGGCCCGGGACTCTGGCTGGACCTGGCCACTGGACATGGACCCCCAGAGTCCCACGGTGGGGGTGGAGGTTGGGCTCTGGGTCCAGGGATCCTGAGGTTGACCACTGGTCTAGGAGGCACCCTTTCCTGCCCCTCACTTCCAGTAGTGGGTGGGGTTGGCAGGCCTCGGAAGGGCTGTGGGACAACCCCCTGGATTGAATGTTTCTGGACTTTGGCAGTCTGGGGTGTGGTATCGGCTACGGGTATCTGCACCGGATCCCAACCCAGCCTTCCAGCCACCACAAGAAGCCACCTGGTACCCCGCCACCTGATGTCCTGCCACCTGATATCCCACCAGCCAGACCCACACCCCAGGACTCTCCTGCCCCTCCTGGCCCAGAAAGAGGCTCCGGGCAGGGTGACTACATGGAGGTATGTGGGCAGCATCTGCCAGTGGGAAGAAGAGGGGGAACTGCATATGGGCAAAGGGGCCTGCCACCTGGGGAGAGGACTGAGGTTGCTGTCACCAGGGGCCCATTTGCAGAGCCCTTGGGAGGCCTTTCTTGTTTCTGGGACCCAATGGAAGTAGGTGGTTGCCCACCCCCCGCCCCAGGACAGTGAAGCCCACTTTAGTTCCCCTGCCACTTGGGTCTGGAGGTGAGGGTGATGACAAGGCACTAGTTGTCATTTTCCTTTCATGAGTAGGAAACTGAGGTGCGGGTGGGCAGAGGCTTATACCGTGCCTCGGTGAGTCTGTGGTAACATTGGGCCAGAGGCTGGGCATCTAAGAGCCCCCGCTGGGCTGGTGGGCCAGCTCTGTAGGGGAATGCCAGACCTGCCTTCCTGCCTGTTGAAAAAGTCACCTGAGTGCCATGACACACTGGCCTGGTGCCTGGGGTCTGGACTAGGAGGCATGCGACGACTGCTCCCCAGGCATGCTGGAGTTCGGGAAAGGCCATCTCTTCTGGGTCATTGGAGGGGCCCAGCCAAGGGGGCCCCTGGGGCTCCTCAGCAGAGCAGGAAGTGTTCTCCCTCCTTGTCAGTACTGCTGGAGGGGCCCGTGATTCCCTGCAGGGGAAGGGGCAGACCACCAAGGCTGTGTGCTCCTTCGGGCAGCGCGGTACTTCCATGGCAAGCGTGGGCCAGGGGTTAGGTCGGACTCTGTCCCGACTGCCCCTGCACTGTTCCCTCCTTCTCCTAGGCCCTGCTGCAGGCGCCCGGCTCCTCCATGGAGGTACAGCTTTCTGAGCCTGGGAGTCCCAGCCTCGGCGCTCCAGACCTTGGGGGACTTCCATGTCCCATGGAGACTCTTCAGCCTCCACCTCCAGTGCAGCGCGTCATGGACCCAGGTAGTGAGAGTGGGCTCTGGAGAGGAGGCTGAGGAGCCTGCCACGCCGGTGCTGAAGTGGGCCCCGGGTTTAGGGGGAGGCTTCAGTGGCAGTCCCAACACCTTCCTCAGCCCTGCTGACCCCTCCTAGCTTGTATGGCCCAGATGGCTACAGAGGAGCCAGTCCACTGTGCAGATCTGGGGACTGGAGTCCACAGAAGAGAAGTGGCCTGCCTGAGGTGATGCAGCATAGTGGGAACAGAGCAGGGTATGGGCCCTCTGCCACTGTGCTATTCCCATGAGGCCCAACCCCAGATACCTTTCTTTCCTCAGCTGCAGGCAGTGGGGACCTCTTTGGGGTTGGCGGAGGCACCCCCACAGGCTGAGATTATAGTTTGAGGCCGGGCCAGGTGTCCCCCCAGGAACGGGGCTCAGTGAGCCCAGGGTACCGGCCTTCCAGCAGTGAGGGTTTTGTGCTGGTGAAGACGTGCACCCTTCCCCTAGGCTTCCTGGACGTGTCGGGTATCTCCCTCTTGGACAGCAGCAATGCCAGTGTCTGGCCCAGTCTGCCCTCTTCCACAGAGCTGACCTCCACAGCTCTCTCAGCCTCCGGGCCTGAGGACGTCTCCAGCAGTGGTTCTCATGAGCGTGGTGGTGAGTGGCCCTTACCTGTAGAAGCTTTCCATGAAGACCCTGGATTATTGGCAAGGCTGCCCTGAATTTCTCAGCCGGGTGGGAGGCTGGCGTTTCGGTGAAATACAGCCACGTCAAAGTATCCAGACACTAGAGCGCCTGTTCCCCATCAGGACCTGGGGTGGCAGTGGGGGGGTTAGTGGTGGCTGCCTCAGGCCAGGGTGGTCTGGGGTTCTGCAGGCCTCCTCAGCAACCCCCTGTATGTTTCAGGTGAGGCCACATGGTCTGGATCAGAGTTTGAGGTCTCCTTCCCGGACAGCCCAGGCATCCAGGCCCAGCCAGACCACCTGCCTCAGCTAACCCTTCCTGACAGCCTCACCTTTGCAGCCTCACCGGAAGATGGGCTGTCTGCTGAACTGCTCGAAGCACAGACTGAGGAGGAGCCGGCAAGCACAGAGAGTCCAGATTTCGGGGCAGAGGCTAAGGGGGCAGCCAGCCAGGCCCAGCTCTCCACCCCCGAATAACACCGTAGGCTGTGTTGAGGCCCCTGATGGCATCTCATGAGGCCTAGACGTGGGTTAGCAGCTTAGGCTACACTATGCAGCCCAGTCCCTCCCTGATCCCGGCCCAGCACGTACAGCTTCCTAGGCAGTGGCTCCCCAGATGTGCAGGGACTTCTGCAGGGGAGGGCTTGTGTGTCCACATAGACCCTCCTGGTGTCCAAGAATGACCTCCCAGCATTAATTCTGCCTGATGGTCCTGGCTTTGGGGAATCTTGGGGCAGTGGAGGGCTGGGAGCAGTGCCCAGATGAAGTTTTGCAGGAGCTGGGGTAGGAGAGGAAAGGATTCTGCTGCTTGGGTGGTGCAGAGAGCTTCAGGGGGTAGGAGGAGGCAGCGTGGGCCTGGAGGAAGGGCATCTTTTGGCCGCATAGCTTGAAGTCCAGTGCTCCTGCTGTGGTCACTCTGGCCGCCCTGGAGACAGCAGGGTCCACACAGGGTCAGGTGTGCACATGGAGCGGAGGAGCAGGGAATAGGTTGGAGGGTTTGCCTGACATTTTGTAGGGCTTGCCTTGAATCTCGTACAGCTCAGTTAGCCGTGTGTGTGCTGGAAGGCAACCCCCTGCCCTGGGGACCCCTGAAACCCCCGTGACTGTCCTGTCATGTGCTCTCATCTCTGTGCTACACTCCACAGTTGGCTCAGGCTGACCCGCACCATCCCAGCTGGAGAGAAGCAGTAAGCTTGTCCACCTCTCCGGAGAGACGGGCTGGAAATGTAGGCCCTTCAGCAAAGACTCACTTGTTCTTGGACTACAATGTTCTTCCCCAGGGCCTACACCCCACAGGACCCCATATCCCTAGTGGTGACTTCTGTTGGCTCCCAAACTTAAGACAACCATCTCTTCTAAACATAAAGGGCATCTGGTCAGTCCCAGTGGTGAATAAAAATGGCAAATTTAAGTTCACCATCCTGAGTAGATTCTCAAAGATGGTCCTGACTGGATCTCTTTATACATAGCTCCCACCCAAAGGGGGAATGAGGGGCCTGAGACTAGAAGCCATTCTAGTCTTTCCCACAGTATGGGAGGAGGCTGTTCCCTCCACCACAGGTGCCCCGAGAGGCTGAGACCAGGCCAGGTCTTCGGCCCTACCTGGTTTATGAAGGAAGAGGAGGGCTCCATGCAGGAACGGCTCCGCCTCCCCTCACCTTCCCACATGCTGGTTGCCATGAAAGCTGCCTCTGGCCTGGTCTTCTAGTTGCTACCCAGTTAAAAGTTCCGCCTCTGCCGCTTGATCTGTAATGTGTGCACTTAACAGGGCATTCAGAGTTGTTAGGCCCATAGGACAAGGACTGTCTGCTCTGGGGGGCACAGACCAAGTATATGCAGGGAGGGCTCCCAATAAGCAAACACTAAAGATTTCTAGCACTGCCACTGCTTTTAAAGACCGCCCTTGTTGAGCCTACCAGAGCAGCTGATACACCTGCAGAACAGGGAGCCATTGTGTCTGAAACCAGGGCTGGAGCTTGTTTCTTGAATTGTCTGGGAGCCCAGTATCTGCCTGGAGGAATCCAGGAAGTAGAAGAGAACCTCCACAAGACTAGCCTGAGGCCAGCTTCGTGAACTGCAGCCTGGCAGCCTGGCCCAAGGTCCCCCTCGCCCTAGGATGCTGGCTCTTCCTTCCCTCCTTTTACACACTCCCTACCCTACACAGGGGGATACAATGGGTACTGACTCTAATTATTGCCAGGATAAACATGGAACCAGAAGTTTCTCTGTAACCTGCTATGAAGGAAAATGACAAGTGATTAATAAATGTGTACTACACTGAAATATTGTAACTAAAGCCTTTATTTTATACAACTGTGAAATACAGATTTTTACCCTTTTGGCATTGCAGACTCAAATTCTCTGGAAACTTACTGGTTTGACTGGAAGGAAAAAAAAAAAGTGAAAGCATGCTGAGGGTCAGATCTGTGACAGGAAGGGAGCATAGATGCCCCTCACGGCTCGGCAAACGGGACGAAATGGCCCAGCAAAACCCATTCTGTTAGCCCAAGGGCCCCTCCTGCAAACCCAGTGGAGGGCTGATAAGTGAGTTGGGGGTTTGTTTTACCATTAATTCATAACTATTGCTAAAAAATGTGCACCAAAAGCACACTGTTGTATTCAACAGATAGAAAGAATTGATAAAAAAGAAGTCGGCTACTCTCTGTGTAAGGGAGAAAGACTCATTGGAAACGTGGCGTGTCTTTGCTCACTTCTTCAAAGTGACCAGTCCACTTTCCAAAGGAGGCTGATCAGCAGTGAGGGAACCCTGTCTCTATGGTTGTGCGGGTAAGAATATCTCAGTAAGTCTGGACCCAGGCCCGTCAGCTGCCTCCAGCTGAACCTGTGAAGATGTAGAAAAGACAACACCTTCCTCCCACCCCCTTCCCCAGTCCCTGCTGTGTGGAGACCGACCACACACACTAAGCTGGAGAGGCAACTGGACTGGAATAAACTGCCCTCTGAAGGCACTTGTGCTTCTGGCTTCATACAGGAGGCTTGTCTTACATGGTTTTACGGGGCTGGACCACTGTTCCGTTCTGAATACAAATGACCTTGGGGAGAACCCAAAGTATTTTTTTTCTGCCAAAAGTTGAAGTGTTTATCCCCAATAAGTTATATTCTGTACAAGACTCAAATGATTCTATGAAAGCTTTAGATTGTTACAAAGAACAATGAAAAGAACTCTGGATACAGGTACCCCGGCAAAAACCTGCATATAAAACTCTGGAGAAAGAAGTATGTATATTTCTGGATGTGAATATCAAATTAACCCACTAGGATATGCTTGTTCTCGGACACTGTACATTTTAGGTAGCATTTAAATGAAGCTTGCATGTCCTCATGGTCTTGAGTTTTGATGGTGTCACACTGCTCACCCAGAGCAAAAGCCTGTGGTGTCACCTGGCTCGGCCCATACACAAATCGGGACACAGTGGAGCAGGGAAAACACTGCACCTGCCTGTGGTGGCCACACAGCTGGGAGCGCTGGGGGGTGCAGCCTCCCTGGGTGCTCCTGGGCATACTCCCATCTGGCAGTCCAAGTGCTAAGGTCTGGCTCCCAGAATTTCTACACGTTTTCCTAAAAGAATGCATCTGAGATGCAATATTAAAACAAGCCCAACAAGGATAATTTATTATGAAATGGGCTGGGTTTTGAATTGTACAACAGCATATTCCTATTAAAAATAACTGTCTTAAATGTGAGAACAACTTGTCTGTTTTTCATGACCGACTTGGAAAAAGCCTTCATAGGTGCTGCATGAATGGAATGTACTCTTTTGAAAAGCTCCAGAGCGTGTGGGTTTGAGGTCGAAACACAGTGACAGATGTGGCTCTACCTATGTGTCTCTAACAAGTGCTAACAAAGATAAGGTCCTTTGAAAGAAAAGGAAGAAACCCAGTCTGTGCTGGCCTGTTCTCTGTACATCTCACAAGACACGTCTGCCTTGGGGGGGGGGGGGTCTTCTGCTCGGACTCTCTGCCTCCCTGGGGACAGCTTAATCTACACATGGAGACTGGTTTCTATTTTACATCTCAGTCACTTCAACTGAAAGAGAATCTCGGTCCATACCAAATCAGCCATTAGAAGTCTTGCTCCCATTGGGGCTCGGTGGGCTTCCTAGGACTACTCTTGGGGCCACAGAGGAAGGTCAATAAACAAATACCCAGGAGCATTCGCCCACACTTCACGTGGATTTCTGTCGGTAATGGAGGGTGAGGTCGCCACCACTCTTCCATATGAAGTGCTTCACTGTTCGGAGGTCCATGTTTGGATCCAAAACCTGAACAGCAAAAGATAAAGAATAAAAATGTCAAAGCCTCTACTTTGTAATATCCAAGACCTTTACTGTGAACTCAGGGACACTGGTGATCCAACTTGTCCTCCCCTCGCCCACACCTGGTGCCTGCTCTTGCCAACACAGCTCCCATGCAGGAAGACATGAACCCGGGTGCTGAGAGACATGTGACTTGTGCAGCTAGGCCAGAAATCCCAACCTCAGCCATTCCTCTGAGGAAATGCCTTAAGTGCACCTTTATTTAAAACTGCTCCCCCACTGCTCCATCCACCTCCACTTCAACACAGCAGATACTGCTCCGCAATCAAGGTGATCATGTGTCTTTTTCTTATCAGGGTAAAAGAAAAGCCACCAGTACATCCACCATCTGTGTGTGTATTTAAATTTCCATGTCCTTTTCCCAAGAATCTCCCTGGGGTAAATAGAAACTTTAGGGTGGGCTGCGGAGTCCCTCCAGAAGGGGCCTCACCAATAGGTGGGAGAGACCCAGTATTCCTTAGAGCCCTCCCCAAAAGCAGAAGCACCCCTACAGGTAATAGATGTGGGAACCATAATCACACCACATGTAACTTTCTAAGCACTGGCACTATGGGGCTATGGTCCTCAAATGCATTTACCTGGTCCTGGCACAAAAGTTCAATTTTCTCTTCTGCCAACACAGCAATATCCTCTTCTTTTTCCTGTTCGCCTGGTTTTTCATTATTAGAAGAGCTGGTGGTTTGCGACTCGTTATCCAAGTTGATGATTTTTTCATAAACATGTTCCATTACTTTCCGGACTTGGAGCATGTCACTAGCAGAGAGTCTATCTCTAAAAAGCAAGGGCAGACTGTGCCATCAGGAAATCACTGGATATTGTCTCTTACATATTCTTTGGTGTTCATATTTGTGTGGTTTGTTTTTTTCTTTCTTTCTTTTTTTTTTTTTTAAGATTTCATTTATTTATTCATGAGAGACCCAGAGAGAGAGGCAGAGACATAGGCAGAGGGAGAAGCAGGCTCCCCAGGGTAGCCCAAAGCAGGACTTGATCCCAGGACCCCAGGATCACGCACTGAGCCACCCAGGTGCCCCCTGGTGTTCACATTTGATAAAGATTAAAGCACAGAAACATAAACCAAGAAATGTTTTTAGTCATTGCCTTAATCTAGTCTTAGAATTGCCAGCACATTTCCAGGATTTCCCTAAGACACAGATTATGTGTGAGATTAAATACATGTTCTTAAAATTTACATACACATCAAAAACAGCCTCCTGGGTTTTATTCCCTTAAAGACGTTCCTACAGCATGGGCAAACTAAATGTTCCTGGGAGGGAAGGCAGCCCTCAGTGTTTATCAGGTTCCAATGCCCTTGGTGCGCATTTTTCCTGCAGCTCTCAGCCCTACAACCAAGACCTCCTGCCTGAACTCTAGGCCACAAGCTCAATAGCTGGCTGGGTATCTCCAGATGGACATCCCACAGGCACCTCAAACTCTATTGACGTGTCCCAAACTAGATTCAGCAACTTCCTCACCCCCAAACCTACTTCTCCTGCATCACTGACGTCAGTTATAAATGGCCAACCCAGACAGCCCAGGTGGCTCAGTGGTTTAGCGCTGCCTTCAGCCCAGGGTGTGATCCTGGAGACCCAGTATCGAGTCCCACGTAAAGCTCCCTGCATGGAACCTGCTTCTCCCTCTGCTTGTGTCTCTGCCTCTCTCTGTCTGTCTCTCGTGAATAAATAAATAAAATCTTAAAAAAAAAAAAAAAGGCCAACCTAAGTAGCTCAGGTTCAAACTCTGAAAGCCATTTTAAACTTCAGTTATTAATCTAGTTGAAGTGCTATCTAGGACTTGCTTTAAAATAATCCAGGGTGTGTCTGTGTGTATGTAGGTGGGTGGGAGGGAGGCGAGGTAGAGGTAGAGATGAAGCACGGGTTAAGCCATGTGTCTATAACTCTGTGGAGCTGTTTGATAGGATGATGGGTGGGAGGGTTCATGCTCATCTCTTTTTGTATGTTTGGACATTTCCCTAACAGAGGGTGATTTGACTTGCTCGAATATATATCTAGGACCCCTCGAATTTCCTTTTCCACTTCTGGCAACCCTTGCAACCTCTGCTATAGCACCAGTCCTTGCACATTTTCAGGATCTTGTGCATGCTACCACTTCCACATCCCCAATCAAACCATTTCCTGGAATACCTCTCTCTGGAAATTCCATCCATCCCTACATGGCCAGCTCAAATTCCAAGTCTTTAAAGAAGCCTTTCTGGAAAGCTCTAGCCCACAATTCATTTCTTTCCTCTAATCTCACCATTCCCTAAGTATCCATAAAAGCAGTTCTTATACACAGATTGTGTCCTAAAGTATGCTGTAGCAAGAGACAGAAACTAATGTCATGTCATCCTTGCACAGGGGCCATGCTAATCTTCTCTGTATTGTTCCAATTTTAGTATATGTGCTGCCGAAGTGAGCAGGAGAAAGAAACAGTCTTACTTTTTTGAACATCTGTGGCCTACCACAGGAGGTCCCTGGTAAATGGTACTTTCAATATTACAAAACTAGCTTTCAATCTCTTTTACTAAAAGCAATCATAAAGAAAAAGAAAGCTCTAGTAATAATCAGATCAAGGCATCACATGACACGACAACTACTTACTTTTTTAGAGTTTTTGCTCCTGAAGATGCATGAGGTTGGAGGTAGAAAGGAATTTTGTTGAATTTGGGCATATTTTTCTGAAATATTAAAAGTAAAAAGAAAGGTATGATCATTGCTATTAGCTGATGAAGGAAAATGATGTCAATAGAAAAACATGATTTGCAAGTTAATAGTTATTTTACAATTAAAACTGACTTTCTAGGAGATTTATAGTAAGCTATCAAATTATCCAAGTCAGCTGTAACGAAATATATCAGAAAAGTATCATGTGTAGTTTTGTAATAAAAGATATGTGAGACAAATGATATGCCAGTGGCAATATGAAGCTGCAGGATGGCTCTTCTCAAATAACAGTTCAAGATATGAAAGGAAAACAAATTTTATTCTAACTCTTAAAGCTGTAGAAATAAAAATCTCAATTCTACATTAAAACATTGAAGCTGATACCTAAGGGCCCAAACAAAAAAGTTCAGTGTCTTGAGAAAAACCTGCAACATTCACCTTTGAGCAAAACCATATACTCTATGCTGGTGAGGCCCATCATCCAGTCGAAAAGGCCACTCAGGTCCTCCTACTTTATTTCCCCTCTGCCATCAGGTCTGAGGTTTTAAGCAAGAGTGGAAACTTCAGCCAACCACCAAGAAGATGTCTACCATGAAGTAAACCACATCCTTAGATGAAGGATAAAATTAACTGGTTATCTTTTCTCTGGGTATTAGTTCCTTCCGAGTCTCCATGTCATAACCTGTCTGGATGTCTCCTCTCAGGAATAAGCCACAGGCCTAAAGTCAGCAATGCATCCCAGGTGACTTTCACACTCAAAGGAAGTAGTGGTTTTATGGGGAACTCGGACTTAGAGAGGAGCACAGAATATCCATCAGGTGTCACACTGGTTTTAAGTTCTTGGAGGTCTATCAGGGACAGAAAACAAATTTTCTCAAAGTTCTAGAGATTAAATCTCTTTTCATATGGCTTTAGAAATATATAAAACAGGTCAACAGCACATAAGACAGTCTAGAAACAGACCCATGTGTATATAGAAATTTAGTATATGATAAAGACAGCATTTCAAATTAGTAGGAAAAGGACAGATTATTCCAAAAACTTGTTTTGGCACGCTGGCTATCTATTTGGAAAAGTCAGCATCCTACTTCACACCAAACAGAATAAATTCTAATAGATTAAAGATCTAGACATACACAATGATCACAGATGTACTAGAGAAGAATACATTTTTGCTACTTTGGATCAGGAAATACCCAAGCAAGACATGAAACTCAGAGCCATAAAACATCCTCTGATTACATAAAAATTCAAACTTTTTGCTTGGAAAAAGACACCAGCCATGAACCAAGTAAAACTTCAATTGAGAGACACAGATAATAGTCAAAGGGTTAATATTCAATATGACAAAATCCTACAAATCAGTAAGAAACATAAATTACCCAAAAGAAAAATGAGTGAAGAACAGAATACAAGGCAACTCATAGAAGAAATACAAATGGCCAATGTGAAAAGATGCTTAACCTCACTACACATGAAAAAACAACACCCCACATTAAAATAAGATTTTTGTCATCTTTTAGTAAAGTTTCAAAGTACCCAGCATCAGTGAGAGTGTAGAAGAAATGGGCACTCATACGTGTTGGTGAGAGGAAATGCTGCTATAGCTTTTGTCGGAAGCAACTTGGTAGTATCTATCAAAATTTAAAACATGCATACCCTTTGATCCAGCAATTCCACTTCTAGGAATTTATCCTAAAAAGCACACGAAGATACATGTACAAGGATGTTCACTGAAGCATTGTTTGTAATAGAAAACATTGGAAACAACCTTAATGTACATCAATAGGAGACCAATTAAATAAATTATGGTACATTTATACAAATACATACTATGTAGTCATTAAAGAGGAATGACCCATATGTACAGACATAAAAAGATGTCCAAGATATATTTTTAAATGAAAAACAAAACTAAACCAAGCTGCAGAACAGTATGTAGAATAGATCTTATGCAAAATAATGAACTGTGTATGTATACACACATAGGTACATGCACACAAACCCTAATAATATCTGCTTATGAACACACAGAAAAAAGCCCTGAAGATTATGCCCTGAACTAGGACTAGTTATCCCCGCTAGGGAGAAGGACAGGAATAAGTGGAAGAGAGGAATGACTGGGAAAGTGATGGGAGTTTCACTTTATCCATTTATTATTTTCTTTAATAAGCACATGTTACGTGTTTAACTAAATCCAACAAAGATATAAACAGATTCATAACTAATTACCAGTACTACTTCTGCAACCTTGGAATGGCGGGGAAGCAGAGGAGGACTCCACTTGGCAGCCTAGTTTTTACTAAGTAAGACTGTACAGTCTAAAGCTGCTCTTAATTTCCTTCGTGATTTGGACAGAACAAAAGGGCAGAGCAGCAGTGGAGGACACTTACATCCACAGTGATGTCAATTACCCATTGTGGCACCGTCTCATTAAGAAGCATCGACTCAGTCTCACCCCCGGAGTCTCGGCAGAGCAGCCTAAACATAACCCGTCAGGTAGTCAGTGACACAAGAAGCACAAATGACAAACCACTGTCAGCAAACATTACAGGGAGGGGCCCTAGAGTTCATGTGAGATAACCCCCACTTGACAGCTGAGAAAATAAAGTGCACCCAGGCAGAAGGACTCACTGCCTAAGAGGGGGAGCAGGGTCTAACACTCAGGCCCCCACATTCTGAGGCAACATATATACTAGAGCTGCTTCTCTTGAGTCCTCAGGTGACGACAGGAACACTGACTGTAGGCAAAGCATTCAAGAAACATCCCCTGCCAGGGCTACAGTGCATGGTACTGGCCTCCACACATCATAGGGGTCAGTTTTAGTCATCACATTCTCAGGAAACCACCATAAAGGAAGAGAATTCTGCGCTTAAGGGGCAAGATGAGCATTTTTTTTTTTTTTTTTTTTTATGTCTGGCTCTACAGAAGCCTCTAGTGAGCTCTCCCCTGTGATTCCACCAGGGCCTTGCTGGCAACCTAGCTGAAGCTCTAGGCCAGCTTCCTGGCAGGGCCTCACAAAGGATGGCCTCACACCTAAGGTTGGGCACCTTAGGTTCCCGTTGAGCACATATGGCCCAGCCTGAAGGAAGTTATCTACTCTGATGCTGTTCTATGAGCAGGGACTTCTGGTGATTCCTTGACCCTAGCAGTTACATTGGCTAAGTGAGAGAAAGTGACAGCTTCCTGTAGAAACCACCAGAGAAGCTGCCTTAAAGCAAAGTATCGACCTAATTTTAACACGAGAGGCTCAGCTCTCAATTAGAATGTGGTCTAATAGCACCAGACACATAAATATCTCATGGAGATGGAAAAGCTTCCAAATCCCTCACATCCCTAGAGCAAGTTACCATGTTTGAATTAGTATTTCTCAGCAAATGGGATGATTTCTTAGGCAGGGTCTCTAGCCTTCTTTATCCATACCTGAACAGCGTGCGTCCTCCAGCTTCACCAAAGATCACCGGGGTATGGGGGGGCACTTGAAAATATCCATTTCCCTTCTGTACCCGGTTCTCCTGCTCCCCATTTACTAGGAAAAGATGCAGATTATGTCAGTATTTAGAACTAGTGCTAAAAACACGGATTCTAGATATTTTGTTTCCACAGGCTTCGAATACTGCAAACTTTTTAAAACTTAAAAGTCTGATAAATCAGCCAGTCAAATAATGGTAAAAAAACAAATCAAAGTTAAATTTCTACACAGAATAAGAAGTAAAGCAACTTGTGATGTACTTTATGGGAAATGACTGCATAATTTTAGAGCAGTTTAATAGAGATTAATAGTTGAGATTTGAAACAAAAAGAGAACCATCTACTTCAGCCATAGCAAAGTCTAGGACAGCCTGTTTATGAATGTTTATAAATGTGTGTGTGTGTGTGTGTGTGTGTGTGTGAGAACACCAAGCTCAGAAAAATTTCTTGGGCCAGAAAAAAGTTTATGCTTAATGAAGCCATAACTAATGGCAGAGGTACTGGTGAAAAATAAAATCCTCAATGAACTGAAAATCTCTTTTTTATTATTCTCTGCAGATTTCATTTCACTCTGCTTTCTTTATAATCTCTTGACCAAGTACGGTTGAGTCCCACTCCAGTGCCACCTTGTTCACAGGCATCCCTAGTGAATATGGAAGCAACCTCACTCTCTGACCCTACAGCACTTTCAGACCCTCTCTTGTAGCAACAACCAACACTTCACTCTGACCTCATAATATTCTATCTGCTTCTCTGAGGAGCTCCCAGCCCTACCGGAATGTTATTCCCTAATGGATATAGTCCATACCCATGTATTTCTATCGACCCCGCGTATAACACCACAGGCCTCTGAGCACCTGAGCTGCCCAGTGAGTAGAATATACAAAACTCTCGACAGTCCATGATTATGGTGCTGGTACAGCAGATTACCACACAGCCATCTGGCTAGGAGGTGGGTGGGTCCTGCTCTGTCTTTACTATGGCAGTTTGATTTTAAGGGTGATCTGGAATTTCCTGTAACTTTTCCCTTACTCCAACAACCAAAGCCTGGATGCCAGGGGATGCTGACTATACTACTGGTTTTTGACCTTTATCGTCTACTTGGGTCTCTGAGGGCATCCTGTCTGTCATGTTGCAGACAGAGAAGGATGAGCCAAGAACTGGAAATGACATGCCCACAGCTACACAGCTGATAAATGGCAGAGCCCATACCAAAACTTAGCTTTTTCAAGCCTCTATGGAAAGACCTTTCCATTGAGTTTCTCTGGCTCAGAGCCTACTGTACAATTCTGATGGGGAGGGGAGTGGGCCAGGTGACATAAAAGAAAAGCCACCATAGCTGGGGGTCAGTGGCCTCTCTGACAGGGACTCAGAAGAATGGCTTGCAGAGAAGCATGCCATCCTTGTACAAGAGATTTAAACTCCAAAAATCATTACAGATGAATCAGTCAGCCAGAACGAAGTCTCTGGCCAGAGGTCCTCATCACTGTTGACCACCAGAACTGGGCAATCTTCAGCAGAATCTTCAGAGAATTCAGAGAATATTCAGCAGAGTAAGCCCTTAGTAGGTGGGACTCAAGGACTCTTCAACCAGCTGTAGGTAACATATGAGCTGTGAAATTTTTAAGTTTTTTCCCCTTTCTTCAATCAAACTGAAATAAACTTACAAACTCACAACATGTTCTCTGCTGCCCAGAGAAAGTTACTGTCACTGCCTGGGGCACACACAGCTTTTCACTGTCCTCAGTGACGTTAATTCTGACACATACCTGTTCACTTATCCTGACACTTCTGAGTTGGAATTAGATTTTTTGAAATGTTTAGAGCCAAAATTACGTAAATCTTCAGACTTGGTAATGTCTATTTTTTAGGCCAACATGAACTATAACTAGGTAAGGACAGAAATCGCTTTCACTGTAGCTCATTAGCTATCTCTGGAGATAAGTCTAGCAGGGCCACAGCTACTCTTAAAAATATCTTTGGAAGAAGGCTGCTAAGCTGCTTGCTTTTAAGGGCAAAGGTCATTTGAGTATGTAGGTTTTTTTTTTAAATCCCTCTTGAACAGCTTCACTGATTGAAAATGCTCTTGGAATCTCAGTACAGACTGGATGTTCTTTGATATGTGGGAAGGAGGGTGATAAACTGAGCATACACACAACTATTTATTATGTCATGACTTAGCGAATGCTTCTTAAATGTTTCTTAAACGATCTTGAAACAATAAACACTCCCAAGTATCTTAAACTTCTAAGTAATTTTAAAGCAATTATCCTGATATATAAATACGAACCATGGTTTACTTCATTTTCTTCTTCATCCATTGGATTTACATGTGTTCTAGGCCAATATTCTAGGAGTGCTTGGAGTAAAAGTCCTCCTAAGTTCACTGCAAAAGAGTTAATTAAAATGAAAAGACATGGAAAAGAGTTATTAGTCTTAGCCTAAAAACAGAGAGAAAGGAATAAAAGTTATGTTTCCACATGTCCTGATATTAAATTCTTAACCCAATGCCAACGATGTTCAAAAGCAAGACTTGAAAGATTTTGTCACATCTATTAAACTGTATCTCAGAATTTTTTTTTAATCTTAGAAGGTCTAAAGCAGTGATAATATGGAGCAAACATATTCCATCTGGTTGTTTAGATATAGCTATTATTTAAAAATGAACAAACAAAAACAGGAATTACATTCTTTAAGGAACTATTTCCATATAGAGCAACTAAAACTATATTTATAGACATCAGGTATGCGTACATGCTACATTCTCAGAATAATACCAACCAAAGATATAATCAACAGAATATAATAGACTCTTAGGAGTTTCTTCTCACAATACACAAAAATTAACTCAAAACTGATTAACGACTTGAACTCCTAGAAGAAAACATTGGCAGCAAGCTTCCTGAGTTTGGTGATGATTGTTTGTATCTGACACCAAAAGCAAAAACAACAAAAGCAAAAGTAAGTTAGTAGGACTACATCAAACTAAAAAGCTTCTGCACAGCAAAGGAAACATCAATAAAATGAAAAGGCAGTAAGGGGTTAATATCCAAAATATATAAGAACTTCATACAGCTCAACAGGAAAAATACAAGCAATCCAATTAAAAAATAGGCAGAAAAAATAAAAAAAAAATAAAATAAAATGAAATAAAATAAAATGAAATAAAATGAAATAAAATAAAAATAAATAAATAAAATAAAATAAATAAAATAAAATAAAATAAAATAAAGGCAGAAAGGGCACCCGGCTGGCTCAGTCAGAGGAATGTGCAACTCCTGATTTTGAGATTGTTAGTTTGAGCCCCACATTGAGTACTATTAAAAAATAAAATCTTCAAAAAAAAAAAAAAAAGGGCAGAAGATCTGAATAGATATTTTTCCAAATAAGATATAGATGGCCAAGAAGTACAGGAAAAAATGCTCACCATTACTAGTTATCAGGGAAATGCAAATCAAAACCCAAGCTATCACTTCACACATGTTAGAATGGCTATTATCAAAAAAGACAAAAAATAACAAGTGTTCATGAAAATGTGGAGAAAAGGGAACCTTTGTGCGCTATTGGTGGGAATGTAAACTGGCATAACCACTGTGGAAACAAAGTATGCAAAAAAAAAATTAAAAAAAAAAAGAAACAAAGTATGCAGGCTCCTCAAAAAATTAAAAACAGAACTGCTATATTACCTAGCAATTCTACTTCTGGGTACTTACCCAAAGAAAATGAAAACACTAACTTGAAAAGATATATGCACCCCCATGTTCACTGAAGCTGTATTTACGATAGCCAAGGTATGGAAACAATCAATATTTATCAATGGATGAATGGATAAAGAAAAAATATATGTATGTACAATGGAATTCTATTCACCTATAAAAAAGAACAAAATCCTGCCATCTGTGATAACTTAGGTAGATCTTGAGGGCTGTGTGGAAGAAGTGAGACAGAGAAAGATAAATACTGTATGATCTCACTTATACATAGAATCTTAAACCAAAACCCAAAAACCAAATTCAAAGATACAGAGAACAGATTGCTGATTGCCTGAGGCAGGGGATAGGGAAATGGAGGGAGTCAAAAGGTACAAACTTCCAGTTATAACAAATAAGTAACTTCCATTAAACAATATGATATAATGTACAGCATGGTGACTATAGTTAATAATACCGTACTGCATATTTGAAAGTTGCTAAGAGAGTAGATCTTAAAAGTTCTCATCACAAGGGAAAAAACTGTGTAACTATGTACAGTGGTGACAAATATTAACTGGACTTTTGCAGTTAATCATTTTGCAGTATATACAAATATTAAATCATGTTGTACATGTGAAACTAACATAATGTTATGTCAATTATATCTCCTTTAAAAAAAAAAGAAAAACAACAGAACTGTTTCTTAGCTTCAGTTTTCCTCAGATTTCCAGAAAGGCTTAAGGGCAGAAGTGTATTGTGTGTTTATTAAAGCTAAACCACAGATTGTGAGAAAAATCAAGAACCCCCCCCCATTTTTGTTTTTTTTTTAAAGATTTTATTTATTCATGAGAGACACACAGAGAGAGAGGCAGAGACACAGACAGAGGGAGGAGAAGCAGGCCCCATGCAGGGAGGCAAATGTGGGACTCGATCCTTCTTTTTTGGGAGGAGGAAGGGAAGGGAAGACACATAAACTCACATTTTGGATCTGACCCATCAGGGCTGCTGAAGCCAGCATCTTTTGCAGAAACCCAAGCAGCAAAACAATCACTCTCATCCAAAGTAATAGTCAACATCTGTCAAAAGAAAAACCTGTTAGTGGCGTTCCTTAATTTCAATACATTCTCCAAATAAGTCTTTAAGGCCCTATTTATCTGTACTATTTCATTAAAGTGCTAAGCTGCAGATTCAGACCTAAAATGATTCACTGCAACTACAATTTAATTTACTGGGATACCAAAAGGCACCTAAAAAAAATTATTTACTTACTTACTTACTTACTTACTTATTCATTCATTCATTCATTCATTCATTCATTCATTCATGAAAGATACAAACAGAAAGGGAGAGACATAGGCAGAGAGAAAAGTAGGCTCCCTGTGGGGAACCTGATATGGGACTCAATCCTGGGACCCTAGGATCATTTCCTGAGCCAAAGGCAGATGCTCAACCACTGAGCCACCCAGGTGCCCCCCAAATGCATTTTAAACTTCATTTTACAAGTATTAAGATGAAAAATGTACTGCTTTCACAATTAAAAACATAGGACTCTATAACTAGTAATACTTAATTTTGAACTATATTAGAAACTTTCAACTATTCCAAATTGTATAAATATCAGGTGCTAACTTACCCCCGTTTTTAAGTCTACTGAGAACCAATTTGGCACATATACCATCTTAAATCTCTTCTTAATTTCATCTTCAAAATCCACTTTGCCCAAATCTTCAACTTTACAAGCCTATACAGTAATAAAGAAAGTATGATAATTATCAATAACAAGTGGTGAACTGATTCTGACTTAGGTATTCAAAATTTTACATTTTCACATCTGTGTCTAAATAAAATGGAGTCTAAAAACATCTTGGATGACACTGACATCCACTTAGGCCTCTCAAATCCTTGTTAATATTTCTACCATAAACATACAATCTCCAACAGCAACACTGCTACTACCTGGGGTCTCTGGGGTTTCCAAAGTCAGTTCCCCACAACATCGCAGCAAATCTTTGGCCTTGCCACTTCCCTCACTTTGCCTCAGCCCAGGACTCCTCAAAACAGGAGAGGCCTTGACAAAATCCCCTGAACTCTGTGCTACCACTCTTCCTGGCAGGAGGAAAAAAGTGCCCCTCATTGCTCTGCTCTGGACCCCCTCACTTCTTGGGGACCTGGTGCCACCATCTACCCTCTCATGTCTCTCCTGGCTTCTCCCTATGAGTAGTGAACACACTCCAATTCCTCCCACCTCAAAAATACCCAAACACCAAAACAAGACCTTTGCTTCATCCTCCCATCCCTATATCCTCTCTCACTACTGCCTCTTCTTGCCCACCTCCCGAGAGTCAAGTTTCATTCAAAGACTGCTTCCCTACCTCCCAATCACTACTCTATCTGGCTTTTTCTCTTAGGACTCCCTTAAGACTGTCCCCAACACTATCCTCCCTACTGGTTAAACCCCAGGTAAGTTACATTCCAAATCAGATGTGAACTCTCCTCTGCAGGCCAGTGCCAACTTGTGGTTACAAGCCCTTTCTGGAAATGCTTGCTTAGGTCTTGAGCCACCATTGGCTCTTGGTTTTCCAACCCCTTTTTATTATCCACCTCTTTTCTAACAGTTCCTAAAAGGGTGATGGCTGGTTTCTTCTCTCTTGAGTATAGATGTATCCCTTGCAAACTCTGATGCTCCCATCACTTCAGTTATAGTCAATGAGCTGCTGACTGTGGAGCCAGTCTCTCCAGCCCATCTCATTTACTGGTGCATGACGTCATACCTACCTAGACATTTACATAAACTCAAACTCATTGTCTTTCTCAGCATGTCCCCTTCTCGGAACTACCCATTTTTCCTCTTACATCCACCCCTCCCCCCGCCATCACTTATCAAACTATCTGACCCAGGAACCTGGGACTCACTCTGCTGCTTTCTTTTATACTCCCTTTTATTCAAGCTCCCTCTTAACCATAGGCCTAAATATCTTTCTCATCATTCTGGTTTTTTCTCCATCCTAGTCCAGATGAATACTTGATCTCTCACCTGCATTAGTATAACAGTCTCTTAACTATTATATGCCAGCCACTATGATAAATACTTCTCGAATATCTCCTTAACCTTACCAATAATAGGTGCCACCCACATTTTAGGAATAAAGACAGGGGCTTAGAGAGGTTCAGCATGTTCTGGAGATCACTTGGCTAATCGCTAGAAGAGCCAAGATCAGAATGTAACTCTATCTTACTCTGAGCCTATGTTCCTAAATACTCCTGACTCCCTACTTCTGTTTAATGTCATGTCCATTATGCCCAATCACTTGATCTTGACACTCCAGGGTCTAGTGTCTAGGTACTAAAAGCTGTTAGGGACACAAAAATGTCAATTATGGAACAGACCATGTCAGTGCCCCATCTAAGAGCTGCCTCCCATTCAGACAGCAGGACTCTACCAAGGCTTTGGCTAATTCACCCAAGAGAGGATATCAGACCCCCAAGCCATTCAGCCCACCCTGAAAGAGTAGCTTGGCCCAATTAGATTGTTATGTTCTGGAGAGCATCAGGTGCTGGGCAGCATGAAGCCCAGACACAGGGCAGAACTAGGGCTATGCAGTAGTGGAGTAGCAAAGTTCCTGCTGACAAGGTCCTCAGGGCTGCTCTGGTTCCTCCCAGTCTCCACAGGACCCCTCTCTGAAACAAACATGAGTCTTTAGTCCCATGAGAAGTGTATCTCTATCATAATAAAAACCAATTGGACTTTTGGAGTCTGCTGTAATTTAATTTTCCACTCAACTAATAAAGCCTCTTGTTCTGCAAACCATGCTCACCAGGCAACTGCTTCATTATATGACTTCTTGTACACCTGCCCCACTGGGAGGGAAAGTGTTATTCAGGTCAAAGTTTCTTTTTTCGTTTCTTTTCTTTTATTTATTTATTTTTTTTAAAGATTTTATTTATTCATGAGAGACACAGAAAGAGAGGCAGACACAGACAGAGGGAGAAGCAAAGCAGGCTCCTCACAGGGAGCCCGATGTGGCACTCGATCCCAGGACAGGGATCACGCCCTGAACCAAAGGCAGACGCTCAACCGCTGAGCCACCCAGGTGGCCTTTTTTCGTTTCTTTAAAGATTTTATTTATTTGAGAGAGAGAGAGAGAGAACGCACCCCAGCAGGAGTAGAAGGAGTGGCAGGCAGAGGAACAAGCAGGCTTCCAGCCAAGAAGAACCCGACATGGGACTCAACCCCAGGATTATGACCCTAGCAGAAGGCAGACACTCAATAGCTCAACCAACTGAGCTACCCAGGTGCCTCTAGGCCAAGATTTCTATTCAGAGACAGTCTCTTCTTCTCAGAAAGAAGCTGTTGGTCTTATTCTTTAGATATAGACATTTCTTCTAACCAGGAGTGTAACCAAAACACCAGAGCTTTTCAATTCTTTCTTATAATGTATCCAACATCTGTCTCTTCCTTTAGATCCTTAAGTCATTATGCTGAAGACATGGCCTTCCAGCTTCTTCCCCTCACACAGACCACTGTCACTCTGGGCATGGGACTTTTCCTGCTCCAATAAGATCTAAGATTAAGATTCTTAATAGCAAAGAAGGCCAACTGTGTGGCCTGAATTCAAGACTCTCTGGGAAATGACTTGAATGGCACCTTTCACCCTTGCACCCCAGTGTCCCCCTACATTCACTCTAGTCTCCAATTACACAAAGCTCAAAGTCACTGAATGAACATTATCTTCCCTCCTGTGTCTGTCACTCACACCCTCTTCCTTAAAATGCCCTCCTAATAGTCATCTGCTGGAGTTCTATAAGACCCTTCTTAAATGATTTCTCCACCACGAAGCTCACTTGATTTCTCTAGTTGTAAGTAACTGCCCTTGTCCAAAAACTACCCTTGTAATCCATCTGTTTTTATCTGTAAGGTGTTCCCATTCCCCTAACCCTTGTCCCTCCCAGAGGGGATCACAATACAGACATTCTGTCATCTATGACTCTCAACACAGTTCTCTGTACATGATATTCATTCAGTCCAGGAAATATGTGTTGAACAAATATACCACCACCACCAAGAAAAGCAAACCTTTTGATTTGCCTATAAATTCTTTAGTGCTATTTAGAATGTTGCTGAATGGTTTAATACATCTAACTATCCCCCAGGGAACCATCTTAACATGACCCAGAGTTGTAACTGATGCTTACAGTGATGTCTATAAATCCTGAGCAACGGCTAAACTTATTTTGTGTAATCTAGGGGTTCTCATCAGAGTAATTTTTTTTTAAATTTTTTAAATTTTTATGTATTTATGATAGTCACACAGAGAGAGAGAGAGAGTCAGAGACACAGGCAGAGGGAGAAGCAGGCTCCATGCACCGGAAGCCCGACGTGGGATTCGATCCCGGGTCTCCAGGATCGCGCCCTGGGCCAAAGGCAGGCGCCAAACCGCCACGCCACCCAGGGATCCCTCAATCAGAGTAATTTTGTATCTTCCTTCCTTCCGCTAAACATCTGGCAATGTCTAGAGAGATTTTTGGTTATCAAAACTTAACTTGGGGGTGGAAGGGAAGATGGTTACTGGCACCTAGTGAGTAGAGGCTACGGATGATGCTTAACATCCTATAATGCACAAGACAGATCCCAATCTACCCTGTCCCCCTCAACAAAGACTTATTTGGCTCAGAATATCAATAGTGTCAAGGATGAGGAACGGTGATATATTTACTGTAAGGTAAGGCAGCATTTAACACAGAGGAAATGGTTCCAAATTTTAGGTATTTAAAAAGATAAACTATGGCCTTATCTAATATTTGTAAAAAAAAAAAAAATCCACCCCCAAATTAAAGTATTACTGCAATCAGATCTTAATTTACATACTTATTACTCTGGTTATTTCATATGTGTTTTATAATAAAAAATAAATGGGATACATGATCCAATAACTTATATTTAATACAAAAAGATACTCACCTTCAATACATCCCAATATGCCACATTATTATTGGTATCTTTGGTTAATATATGTCTCTTATCATTAAGAATGTGGCACTGAATAATACTCGCACCCCCTAAAGGAAAAAAAAAAACAACAACACAAAATTAGCAAAACTATTCTCTATTTAAATTCACCATATGGCAGTAACTACTAACTGGCATGTAACAACAGAAATCATTTTACCCACCAGAATGAAGGTGAGTCAAAAGATACACATGTAGTAATATATGTATGTATAATTATATCTAAGGCAGTTTAAGGCCAACCAAAGAAAAACTGTCTGGTTTAAAAAACAGATTATAGATGAAAAAACTCCCTCCTTCGAAGTCCTGCTAGTGGAAAATTGTTAAGGATGAACAGTTTTACTCATTGGGAAAAGTTCAAATGATGACAGGAAATCTCTGAATCAGTTCCATCTCTAACTTTTGCCTCCTGCATGGACATTTGATTCTAAAGGTAACAGCATGGACATGGATGGAGCTGCAGATGAATGCACTGGTCAGTATTCTACTCTACACTCGAGCATTCAATTAAGAATTGCTACTTCCAGCAGTGCTCTAGCTGGAAGTGGAAGGTCTGGTCAGGGACCAGATCTGACTTTCTCTGCCTTGTGCCAAAAGACAACATTCAACTCTCTCTATATTTTACAAAGTGGTTCTTGGCTCAACCAAGACCATGACTAATCTGATGCTGGACAAAGAAAGTCCACTTTTTAAAGTTACTAAATCACATTTTTTTAAAAAAAATTTTTATTGGAGTTCAATTTGCCAACATATAGCATAACACCCAGTGCTCATCCCAAGTGTCCCCCTCAGTGTCCATCACCCAGTCACCCCAACCCCCCCCCCGCCCACCTACCCTTCCACTACCCCTTGTTCATTTCCCAGGGTTAGGTGTCTCTCATGTTTTGTCACTCTCACTGATATTTTCACTCATTTTCTCTCCTTTCCCTAATTCCCTTTCACTAATTTTTGTATTCCCCAAATGAATGAGACCATATAGTGTTTGACTAAAACACATTTTAAAAATACTTTTCTTCTATTAGAAATAAAACAATATACTTGTCATCTGTTGACATCAGAATTACATTTAAAGTAAAGTCATCTCCTTTATTTTTGACAATCCCTTAGTAACTATAATTAGCCTTGGTAAGAGGTATAATACCTTCTACCTTCCTTACTCACCTTTAATAACCTGGTCAGGCTGCGTACAAAGTGGTGTTATAGGATTTGTACAGTCATTGTCATAATCTCCAGAGGCTCTAAAATTATGAATTCCCTTCAAGGTCTAAAGGAACAAAATTAATTTTTTAATCATTTTGTGCTTTATAGGCCTTGCTGATCTGTTTAAAGCAGCAAGAAAAACAACAAATGAGAAAAACCAAAATAATAACATCAACCACAAAATATTCAGTCATAAAGTACAATTGTCTACCATGATTTTAAAAAACAAAACAAGTGTTAAGAAGGGAATATTACTACTGTCTTTTTGGAGGGAAAAGTAGGCACTCTTCCAGGTAAAGCAATGTTGATCTCAAATTGGCAAAATGAAATTTAGACAAGACTTAAAATGTTTTTTACAAGTACCAATAAAGCCCATTTGGTGTAGAAATAGAAATAAATGGAAACACTCTCCCTTTTGTTATCCACATATAGTCTGGTAAGCAACAAAACTTCAATCTTCCTTAATTAACATTTAAGAATTAATAGCACTTTTGATGACTTCTCTCTGCTTACCCTCTATTTCCGTCCCTGTTCTTCATGCTATGAGGAGAAAGGAAATGAATCTAAAAGCACAATTTTCTATTTTCTCTTAACACTTGGAAAACAGAACCCTGGGACACCTGGGTGGCTCAGCGGTTAAGCGTCTGCCTTCAGCTCAGGGCATGATCCTGGAGTCCCGGGATGGAGTCCCACATCGGGCTCCCTGCATGGAGCCTGCTTCTCCCTCCACCTGTGTCTCTGCCTCTCTCTCTCTCTCTCTCTCTCTCTCTCTGTGTCTCTCATGAATAAATAAAATCTTAAAAAACAAAACAAAACAGAATCCTAACAAGTGTACCAGTCATGTTGGTACAAGTATTCCCTGCTATCCAAAAGTAAAGTGTTGGGACGCCTGGGTGACTCAGTGGTTGAGCGTCTGCCTTCGGCTCAGGATATGATCCCAGAGGCCCGGGATCAAGTCCCACATTGGGATCCCTGCATGGAGCCTGCTTTTGCTCCCTCTGCCTGTGTCTCTGCCTCTCTCTGTGTCTCTCATGAATAGAATAAATAAATAAATCTTAAAAAAAAAAACAAAAACAAAAACAAAAGTAAAGTGTTCATATGAAGCCTTTCGAAAGCTGAGATGGTATAAAGACAAAGAAGCAATCACCAGTTCATAAAGGCAAAAATTCTCTTCTGATTTCTTTTGGTTAGAGAAAATGGTAATAGAGGTCCTCTGCAGAAGTGAAGTGGCATAAAGTGAACTTTCCAATAGCAGGAGAAACCTGTACCTGGGCTATTTGTTTTCAAATGCAGTTTTGTGAGGTCAGACATTGTGCCAGTATTTATTGGTATTATCATACAACACTGCTTATTCTAAAGACACCAAATGTCTATCTTGGCTCCTGACTACTATCTTAATTTTAGTACAATCCTTATGTTCATTCACACAGGCTTTCAGATTTTTGACACTGTTCAAAAGCATGCTGAGTGTCAGGTTCATCCTGACATTTGCTACTGGTATGTGGCAGGTCTGTGATAACAAACTACATGTTTACAAACCTTTGCCAGGGACACGGTGGTTTGCTTACCCATTTATTTACTGTAGACTTAGTCGTGGCAACCCAAATTGCAGGAGGGGGATCAGCTGATCTATCAAGCTCCATCTGAAAACAAAGCACAAAAACACTGCTTTGTGGAATGCTGACTCTCCTGAGCTGCCGGGACTAGCTATATATTATTATTAGGCAACAACATCTTCATTCAATGTTTGTGTGCTGACTGTACTAGAGTATGTGCTAAAGGCTAGGGTTGCATAGGATAATGAGGGACTCTCTTTGCTAAAGGAAGCACGGCCTTATAAAAGTGTAATAGGGGTGACTTCTCACCAAAAACAGTGGCTGAAAGTTTCCAGTGTGATTTTAAATTAATTAGTTAGGGAGTCTAAATGAGTACAGTCAAAAGGATGACTTACCATAATTTTGTTCTTGTTACTCTTTTGTTTTTATGTTCTTTTTTAATAACAAGGAAATGTCTTTTTCTCTTTGAAAATATTTGTAATAAAAAAATTCTAATATAGCAAAAAGTGCAAAGTACCCACATAATTCACCTCCCTCACCTAAGAACAGTACACCTGCGAACAGTTTACTATGTGCCTTCTGTAGTTTTAAAATAGTACACGTACAGGAATACATATCCATACCTATTTATACAGCACGCACAGGAAATCACTCTACGGTCAGTTATCCACTATTCGTCCTGTGCCAGGAAACTGAAGGCTGGAGTCATGGGACAGGCTGGACTTCTAGCAAGTAGGAATCCTCTTCAGTTCAAAGTGACATTTCTTGTAATGCACAGTTATGTTACCACTAAGTTTTTTTGAACCTTTTCCTCCATAGCCAAGAGATTCTGGAAGCTACAGGACTCACACTGCAGTGTTTCTCCTCCCTGCTGTCTGCTCCTTGCAGCCTGCTTCCTGCACACAGGCTCTGATTTCAGCCTTAAATCCCTCACTCCCCTAGGACTATTGGTTTTGTCCTCTGCGATGTGCCACCTATTTTAAAGAGCTGTATTCAGGGGCTCCTGGGTGGCTCAGTCAGTTAAGTGTCTGCCTTGGGCTCAGGTCATGGTTTTAGGGTCCCAAGATGGAGCTTCTCTGCTCAGCGGGGAGTCTGCTTCTCCCTCTCTCTCTGCCCCTCCCCCTGCTCATGCTCTACCTCTGTCTCATTTGCTTTCTCTCGAAAATAAATAAAATCTTTAAAAGGAAAAAAAATAAAAGGAAAAAAAGAGCTGTACTCAGACAGGATGTGTGTGCTCGCATGCCATAAGCATCCCCTCAACTGTTTCATTTGACTTCTATTCTTTTTTTTCAGCTCTTCCTCTTCTACTGTGGTTTGGGTTTCAGATGTCACTTAATTTTTCGGGTATTTGCAGTTTTATTTCATGCTTTCCTTGTTTTTGAATGATTTTTGTGAAAAGGATGTAGTGCTACCTTCATGATTTCATTTTAAATCTCGAAATTCTTTTCACTATGGTTTGAATGTGTAATTTTGTGATTATGAGGGAGACCGAACATCTTGTCATATGACAATATGCCAATTTGCAGTCCAGGGTTCACTTTCAGCAGGTGTCAGTATGGACGGCTTTTCAAGTACCCTTTCACCCTACACAGTAGATGCTGATTTAGCAATCGGGACTACTCTGAGATAGGAACCCTTTGGAGTATGAGCTAGCTTGGTTCTCTCTTCTTTTGAATCACTCTTCCACATCCTCCCTCTTGAAGCAGTGGACACACTCGTGCTTTGCTCTGCTCAACTCAAGTTGAGTGTTGTCTGCTTACAGATACCTGAACTTATCATATTCCTTCATTAAAGACAGGTTAGGAAAGCCAGGTGAGTTCAGGAGCAATGTGGGGCAATCGCACTAGGATTTGCTAGTGGGACAGCTACTGGTCTCTGAGGTACCCAAGAAGTCACAATTTCTTCTACAGGTGACTAATAAAAATCTAAATATATTCTTTTATTTATAACTCCACAACTGATTCCTGTTTTAATACAGATTTTGCTGGATTTGGCTGGTACACACAACAGTTTTAACCACAAAACTAAAATATAGGACATACCTTGAGAACTGGTGCTTTTTCTTCACAAATTAGTACCCGAATGTCAGGGTTTCTAAGGTCTGTACAATAAATCTTCCTGTCCCTTCCTCCAGAATACACGTGCGTGAAGGCGTCATTGACTTGCAGAGCCCAGACACCTTCATCATGGACTCGGTATGTTGCTATACATCTCTGCTGGCCAAGGGACCAAAGGCGAATTGTCCCATCAGAACTGCCGGAAAGGCACTGAAAGCAGAGAAAAGTTAAAGTGAGAGAAAGTTCTGGCCAGAAAGTTCCTGCTTTGCTGTGCTCTGCCCTTGGTGCCTCTCCTGACTCTACACTGTCAAACACACACCTCTAACAACCTGCATTTCTACCTCAGATAAAGACTTCTGAAAAGCATGCACTAAGGGCTGAAATGACCAAAGGCAACAGTGTATGCTCAAGCAGGGGAAACGTCTGAGCAAAACTGCCTTTGTCCTCTCCACCTGGCCACATGTAGAATCAGCTTCCCCTGGGAACTTGTAAAAATGCAGATTCTCAACCTAAGGAGGCAGAAATTCTGGTGGGCCCCAGCAATCCGTGTTGTGATAGGCTCTCCAGGTCATTCTGGTATGCTAAGGTCAACAAGCTTTGCAATAGGCCACAAGCCTTTTATAGGCCTGGGTCATACCTGTGTCTCATCCCCCCCGCATGGCAATGGATTCCTGATGGCCTCCCAGGTCCCTGAGATTCTACAAATAGAGGAGGCAGCAGGAACATCTAGTCCCAGGCTTACCACTCCCTATTTGTGACCTTGGATACTTCCCATCTGAGCCTCAAGTTCAACATCTATTAATATAAAATGTGGACCATCAGCATTTAGAGTTAACATTAGTGATTCTGACACTTTCTAAAGGCTCAGGAGCTGACACAACTACACAGAAGTTGCTGGCACTCAAATTAGGGCTGGGCACCCTATGAGTCCAAGAGAAAGAGGCTAAATCAGCCACATTCACACTCAGCATGCCTGGTGTTCACTGCCAGTTACCGTGGTGACTTGCAGAAGAGAATAAAAACTTCTCTGGGGAAAAAATGGCCTCAAGAAGAAGTAACTGCTGGTGTATGAAATTAAGTAGGCAAAGCGCTTCAAAGAAGAGAAGTTAGTTGTGGGCTTGGAGATTTGCAAAGTGTTTCAACAGATGAGGTCTTCAAGAATATTAAGATTTACTGGTATGACGTGTGACTGGAAGGGGCCTTTAGAACTCTGGACGTGTTTAATTAAACGAACAACCACTAGGAGACACCCCCTGTAAGTTGCCAGGAGCATCAGTGTTTTATTACCCTCTTCCAATTGGTTTACAAGGCAACCAAGAGCCTAAGCAACAAAGAACTGCCTGGAGTAAGTTATAAGCAGTAAGTTACAAGCAGCCCTCCAACATGTCTGTGGAAGGACCCCTGCAATCTGATGGAGAGAGGGCAAGGAGGGGCTCCCACTTCCAGGAAGAGCTGCTACTCTGAGGTGGCAAAGCTGTTAGCATATCCTTGATCCCTCAGATTCTAGGCCATGAATCTACAGGAGTAAGGTCTGACAAATTTAGGATAAGGAAAGCTAAGGTGATGGGTTGGAAGTCCTCATAGCTTGGGCAAGTTGCAGCAGGGAAGTCCCAAACCCAAAAGCATAAGCTGAAAGCAGATAAGGGGACACAGAGCTGTATCAACTCTGATACTGAACAAAATAATCTCTGATCATAACTGTATTCTAAATCTGCTAAAAAGCAGGCCCTGAAGTAGACAATAATTACTCTTAAAGTACAATGCTGGTAAACTTCTTTGCAGCATTTGGTAGTACAGTTGAAGGATGTGCCTATTTAACAGGAAATCTAGTGCCTACTACCCTGTAGGACCTAGAGTAATCATCAAACATTTCCCACTACCTCCACCCTTCCACTGGATAAATGTGAAGACGCTATCATTAGGAGGTAATTCTTAGAACTAGGACAGAAGGCCCTGAATGGTTCTGCTACACAAGACTCAGGGGCACAGAGTCTACAGTCCTGATCAGGTTGTTGTGCTTTTGCCAATAGAAATGAGAGGGGAGGGCAGCCCGGGTGGCTCAGCGGTTTAGCGCTGCCTTCAGCCCAGGGCCTGATCCTGGAAACCTGGGATCGAGTCCCATGTCGGGCTCCCTGCATGGAGCCTGCTTCTCCCTCTGCCTGTGTCTCTGCCTCTCTCTCTCTCTCTCTGTGTGTGTCTCTCTAAAATAACATCTTAAAAAAAATAAAAGAAATGAGAGGGGACAGTGTATTGAGGCCTGGCTGCTATGGCCAACATAAATGTTTCTGGGATGGTCACTTATACACAATTGTGACTGCCAATACACAGGAGCCAAGAGGGCAAGGTAAGTTGGGGCAAGGAGTAACCTGATGCTTAAAGACCCCTAGACTTTTTTTTTTTAATAAAGATTTTATTTATTTGACAGAGAGAGTGTGTGCACACGCATAAGCAGGGGAAACGGCAGGAAGAGGGAGAGAGAGAAGTAGGCTTCCTGCTGAGCAGAGAGCTTGATGAAGGGCTCGATCCTAGGACCCTGAGGTCATGACTTGAGCTGAAGGCAGACGCTTTACTGGCCTAACTGGCCGAGCCACCCAGGTGCCCTAGACCCCTAGACTTTAAGCTAGGTTCAGCAGGACTTCAGTTACAGGAAAACCCTGTGAGGGACACACAAGGATGTCACTGGCTCAACCAAAACAACAGATTATCCCAGTTCCTCAAGCAATTGCCTGAGCAAGTACAAAGGACGAAATGTCATATGGCTTGTCCTGGAAATGTTGGCACCAATCAAAACAACTGCAGTGGCAATAGATCTCAAACGGTAAGATTTGCTAAATAACAATACAACAAAGGAAGGAGATGTCCATGGGATTCACTGGTCTATGATACATATCTTATCACAAGTCCCTGACTTCCAATGTCATCAGAAATCCTACATTATTAGAAGCTTGCAGGGCAACTCTGAGGGATACAGTACATACTCTGGTCCAGCAACTATTAATTATTTCTCTCATATATTACAAGATTTTGAGAATCAGTATGTAAAGGTTTCTTTTTTCCTCCTTTGACCTAAACCAAGTAGTTATTATTGCTGTTTTGTTGATCAATTCCCTAATGTAAGTATGCTGTGTATTGGTGGTTAAATTTACAGTTAGCCTCTAGCTGTCAATAAGGATAATGGATGGAGGAGGAACCAGAGGAGGATGCTACCTGCCTAATTATACGCTCTACAGCCCAAGAATAGCCTTTCAAGGGGTCTGCTTACAGTAAGTGGAGCTGACTTCATATGAAGTACATCTGTAACCATACATGCTATTTAGATTATCTTAGTTTTGTAAAAGCACATTCATGACTATATATATATAGGAAACAAGGCAAAGAGTCTAGAAACAAGAGGAGTTTTAGAAAGTTTGCCAAGCCCACAGCCTCCTTCTGAAAATCATCTTGTCCACAGCTCTCTATTTTAGAGCAGTCCCATGAAGACCATATGACACAGTCAAATCCTGAACAAAGCCCATGGAACAGGCAGGGGCGGCCATTTCAAGTGTAGCCCAGCAGCCACACCGCCAAACAGTGAGGAGCTGACTGCACTGGACTTCTTAAGACTCCCATGAAAATGGGGCTGGAAAGGATCTCAAGAGCATAGAAAATGCCATGGCCTCAGACAAGAATATACTTACTACTTCTAATCTTCTTACTAACTATACAAACTAAATATTATGGTCCCTACTTTGCAGATGAGCAAACTAAGGACTGACTAGTAACAAGAAATCCTCTTCTCAAGGCCCACACAGTACATTAACATCAAGATCCTTCTGCATTTCCAAAGACCTCTATTGGCATCTTCAAGCCTCTCTTTGCCTGGTTCTGAAGATGATTTCCTAGTTTTGGCTGGTTTTCCAAACCTTCCTCTCACCTCTGGAGACAAAGGTTTCTTTAATTCCCGTGTGAGACAGTTTCTATGATGTAATTTCCACGGTAGTGATGGCACCTCTCATCACATCACTTCCCTATTCTCTTTCCCAACCTGCTCACAGTCAGTTCCAGTTAGCTCTGGGCTTCTCCCTTGCCCATAACAAAACATGGCTGGAGGAAGCATGGATATAGAGAAGAGGTAGGCCATAGGGGAAAATGGTCCTCGGTTTTTGTTTCTATTATCTATATTGACACAAGATCATTTTCCTACTGCTACAGAACAAATTGAATTATATACCAACAAAGTACCAGAGTACCAGTACACGTTTTAACATTACTGAAATATTTTTCTTTGAAATGCCGACTCTTAAATATTTTGTTAGATGACTCAACTTACAGACTGTATCTACATAGTCAAATGACAGGATTTGCACCAAAGTCAGACAGACTCATTATCAGGAAATTTCCCCTTAATACATTCACTAGTAGAAAGACTTCAATACCAAAACGTCCTTCTGCTTTACACAAAGTAAAATGTTAAATTATTTTTATTCTATACACATCAAAACTGCATTATGCGTTGGCATTAGAATTATTCTGAGGGCATTTTCTGTTTGACCTTTATTTAAAAATGATGCTCAGGGGCAGCCCGGATGGCTCAGCGGTTTAGTGCCGCCTTCAGCCCAGGGCGTGATCCTGGGACCCGGGATCGAGTCCCGCATTGGGCTCCCTGCATCAAGCCTGCTTCTCCCTCTGCCTGTGTCTCTGCCTCTCTCTCTCTCCTCTCTGTGTATTCTAATGAATAAATAAATAATCTTTAAAAATAAATAAATAAATAAATAAATAAATAAATAAATAAATAAGTAAATAAGTAAGTAAGTAAATAAATAAATAAATAAATAAAAGTGATGCTCAAAGGGTTGCGCATGGGGAGGTAGGTGGGGGATTGGGGTAACTGATGATGGGCACTGAGGAGGGCACTTGATGGGATGAGCCCTGGGTGTTATACTATATGTTGGCAAATCGAACTTCAATAGAAACAAATGGAAAAAAAGAAAAGAAAAAAAATAAAAGAGATGCAAACAGAGTAATTTTAAAAGGTGGATAACTATTATATATAATGGAGTATTTTAAGGATTTAAGAGTAGACCACAATCTATAATATATGTGGCTTTGGGTTTAAATCAACCTAGGCAACAAAGTGGGGAAGTTTCTGGTGGATGGAATTTTGGACAAGATCATTAAGTAAACGTCCACACTGCAAGTGCGTACCTGTGTACCATCTCTGTTCAACAGCAGTGCTTTGACATTGTCTGTGTGTCCTTTCAGCTTCATTAGTTTTGCACATGTTCTTGGATCCCATACCCTTAAAACCTGTGTATTTTAACGAAATATTACACAAACTGAGTATATACACGAACAAATTTCAATAATAAATGACTGAGAAGTCAAATGACAACCATTACAGTCTGAGAAGGAAATACTGTTCTGCCAATGACACTGTCTGAGGCCCCCAATCTTTTTAAGTAGGAGGAAGCCTTTTAAATGTCAAAACACGAAGAGGCCTCCCCCACCCAGCTACCCCGCCCTCATCACCACACATGACAGAAATTATATAGTTATATTCTTCTTTCTTCAAATAAAACTTTTCCCTTAGCACCCTCCAGGCAAAACCAGTTTGTATATTTAGTAATTACTCAGATCAAATTATTTTGGTGTCTTTGTGTTTCAGTGTTAAAATATACCCGTTAGGCTCCCCCTTACCTTCTCAGTAGACCCTGATACAATGATTGTTCCCAGTTGATTCATTGCCAGGCTATAAATGGAATCTTTGTTCCCACTTAAAGAAGAAGCTATTAAGGATAAACGAAGCTAAATGTTAACAAAATCATCAGCTGTTTGGCAGAGAGTCAGCAAAAATTGTAAGTTTAATTATTTGGTTTAGAAAATCTTATCTTTGTGAGTGCTCTAAGGAAAAGAAATCTAGCTATGATGGAGGTCATTCTCAACAACACTGTTATCAAAATTTACATCTTATCTAGATTTGAGCATACACAAGTGCTCAATAAATATTTGCTAAATTGAATTGCACTATCCTTTAAAAAGTATCCACATAAATAATGTACTTTTAAAGATATAGTTGTGCCAATAAATACAAAAAATATATCCAAATTAATCATTTTCAAGGAAACACAAATCAAAACAAGAAAAAATTATTTTCACCTACCAATCAGATTTTCAATGAGGTAATAATTCTCAAAAAACAGTACAATGGTACTCTCATACATTGTGGGATAATTACAACTTATTTGGTACAATTCTTGGAAGGACATTAGGCAATAGGTAGCAAGAATCATGTTCATGCTCTTTGATTCAGAGCTTAGTTTCACTGTGGTGAAAAAAGTTGCATATGAAATTGTCTATACAGTATGATCCTAATTTTCAATAAAGAATAGAAACAAAAATACTGAGAAGTTATGCGTAAAGGAGTTAATACATATATTTAGAAAACAACTGGGGATCCCTGGGTGGCGCAGCGGTTTAGCGCCTGCCTTTGGCCCAGGGCGCGATCCTGGAGACCTGGCCCACGTCGGGCTCCCAGTGCCTGGAGCCTGCTTCTCCCTCTGCCTATGTCTCTGCCTCTCTCTCTCTCTCTCTCTGTGACTATCATAAATAAATTTTAAAAAATTAAAAAAAAAAAAAGAAAACAACTGTAGGAAGTACTCAATAAAAGTTAGCTATCAACCTGTGGTGATAATCTCTCTAAACAATTCTAAGCAAGACAGATCTGTTGTAGAATCTGTAACCCTAAGCCTTGGCACAATTCTGACTTCTTTTGCTTTGTTCCCTCTTGTTAGTATCTCTTTGAGGCAGATACTACATCTAGAGAGAACTAAGTGATGTGTCATGACAGCCCCCAGCAGGGACCAGCTGCTGAATCACTACAATAATACACAGTGAAATATCAAGAACAAGGAAAGAGTAGTGTTCAGAGCTTTGCATACTTCCTGAGGAAAAAGGAAGAACAATATTCAAGAAATTATAAACACCAGTGTCCTAATGCGCCCTTCCTGGCGTATCCTAGGTTATATTGACTGTTTTAGCTTTGTCATTGTGAGAATTTCACAGTCATGACAAATTGGACCTATATGTTGGGATCTAGATAGTTCAGATCTTGAACACAGACTTCCTAGGCCAGGTTTAGCCAAAAATGTGCTCCTAAGAGTCCCTTCTGACACTGAGGCCTAGAGGACTCTAGTAGGGTAAGCCAACTGTGAGGCTGATTTTCAAATCTAGACTTGTTTGGGTCTGACCTGGTAATCTAAGATCTCTTAGTTGATGAGACACCTGTGGTCTTACCCTGCTGTGAATGTCTCTGGATTGCCTCTAGAAGAACCCAACCTCTCTGAACTCTTCTGAAATTGGATGGATTGTTTAGAGTGGCTCTGAAAGGGTCCCACAAAACTGGTATTGGAGGCCTTTTCTTTCTTTCCTTTGGGTATGTTCCATCCTGGCCGTCAACTCAAGGGCTCATAAGACGTAGTAACACTTTTAAGAGTCGGAGACTGCCTACTTTGTCAATTAATCAGCACCTTTATCAACAGTGTCTGCTGAGATTGTAGCTTTGGGCCAGGGACCAGGCAATGCTGTGGGAGGTACAAAGTGGTGATAAGAGACAGATTCCTCTGCCCTGTAGGAACTTACACTTTAGCCAGGAGCTAAGTCATGCACATGTACAAAAATAACCAGGTTACACCTGGAGAAGTTACCATTTTTAGACTGCTGTGAGGAACTAGCTCCTTGTTGTTCAACCACACTCTTGGGGGCTAGAATGCTGTAGGTAGAAGCACTCTCAAAATATGAATCACTGTCTTGATGTAAACCTATCAAAGATGTTTCATAAGCCATTCTTTATGTCAACTTGAATCACTTTAAAAAAATTTTTTTCAAACACCTTACTTGTGACAGTGTTATTTGAGGCAGTCAATGCTGTTAAAGTATTCACATCCCAAAGGAATATTTGTCTGTCCAATCCAGCCGAAGCTACCAGTTCTTTATCCTTGGCATATGCTAAGGCCTTGACATAATCCTGTAACAGAAAAGAATACAATGATCTACTAGATCAGTAAGAAAATGAGCAATATAAAGTAGCAAGATCTCGGTATTACACTAGAGACACAGAAAATTACATTTGTTGTTTTACCTTATGTGTCCTTAGTGTTGACATGCAAAATCCCTTATGTGCATTCCACACTTTCACTGTCGTGTCAGAAGAAGCAGATATTACTAGAAGAGGCAAAGAATAAACAAACCCCTGAGTAGTAAGACTTTTTACCATCTTAAAGACTTAGAACAATGCAACATACTTTCAAACTAATGTTCATAGACACACATATGCTGGAATATTTATAAAATTCTTTTTTTGTTTGTTTATTTATAAAATTCTTTTTTTTTAAATTTTTATTTATTTACGATAGTCACAGAGAGACACAGAGAGAGAGGCAGAGACACAGGCAGAGGGAGAAGCAGGCTCCATGCACCGGGAGCCCGACGTGGGATTCGATCCTGGGTCTCCAGGATCGCGCCCTGGGCCAAAGGCAGGCGCTAAACTGCTGTGCCACCCAGGGATCCCTATTTATAAAATTCTTAACATTAATTCAAGTATCTATTTTTTTTTAGATTTTATTTTTATTTATTTATTATTAATGAGAGAGAGAGAGAGAAAGAGAGAGAGAGGCAGAGACACAGGCAGAGGGAGAAGCAGGCTTCATGCAGGGAGCCCGATGTGGGACTCCATCCCGGGTCTCCAGGATCAGGCCCTGGGCTGAAGGGGACGCTAAACCGCTGAGCCACCCAGGCTGCGCCCCAATTCAAGTATCTATTAATGTTCACACACAGACATACGCACACACATATATATTTAAATGCTCTTCCTAGAACCTACTGTATTTTGCCTCAAACATTTTTTCATTTATTTATACTTACGCTTTTATTTTTATTTATTTGAGAGCAAGAGAGGGAGCGCACAAGTAGGGGGAAAGGCAGAGGGGAAAACAGACTCTCTGCTGAGCAGGGAGCCCGATGCAGGCTCCATTCCAGGACCCTGAGATTATGACCCGAGATGAAGGCAGATGCCTAACCAACTGAGCCACCCAGATACCCCTCAAATATTTTTTTAAGTAGGCAGGGCAAATTTTTTTTAATGCTCCAGTTGAAGGAGCAACTTATCTGATATTAATAAGGCTAAAAAAATACATATTGTTATAAATCTATTTATATATAGTTTGAATGCAGGCAAAACTAATCTATAGTGTTTAGGAAAGAGTTATCTTGGTGCTTGAGGGAGTGACTGAAAGGATAGTCCAAGGGGGCTTCTGGTACTCTGTATCTAGATATGAGTGTTTACTTTATAAAAGTTTACTGATCTGTGTTCTCAAGGTGTGTGTGCTTTTCTGTGTGTATGTCAAACTCAATAAAAAAAGTACATAAAAAATGAAAAGCTTATCAAATTGAATGAAAAACTTCCAGATGCTCAATAATACAAAGAGGTACTTACATGTTTTCCCATTACAACAAAGTACAATGTCGTTTACCCAATCAGTATGGTGTTCCATAGATGCTATATATGGATCTTGCTAAAATTGAAAAATTGTAAGAATGTTATTAGTTTACATTACAGGATGGAATATATTACAAATTATAGATATGTTTACATTCTTCAATTAATGTGACAACCTAACTGAGAAAGTGTACACATGATCACGTGCACAATGAGTGGGTGGGGAGGGGCAGAGGGAGAGAGTCTTAAGCAGGCTCCACACACAGAACTGAGGCTCCACACACAGAACAGAGCTTAACGCGGGGCCTGAGCTCACAACCCTGAGATCAGGACCTGAGCCCAAATCAAAAGTCTGACGCTTGACCAACTGAGCCACCCAGGCGCCCCCAGAGTAGAATTTCATCAAACATTTGTTGCTTCCATATAACAGACGTGAACAGACGTTTTGTTTCAGGAGTTTTATTACTGATGAAAGCCTAGGTTTCTAGGACAAATGCTTAATTTTTATTTCTTAAGTTAGTGAAGGCAACAAGATATGGGCAAGGTACTGCATATGACACAGTGTGCTGCAGGCAGGAATTTCTTAGGAAGGACAGGATGTGAGCAGATCTGCAGGCTGGAGGGATTTGGATCGGGGTGATGGTGAAGGCTCACAGCAGACAGCAGGCCCAGAAATGAAGACTTTGCTGATGACAGTAGTGAGGAGCTGAGCCTGACTGCAGAGGGAGATGAACATTTTTGCTCTTAACTTCCTAAGGTCTTTCACCTTTTGAATTAAATGCTTTCCTCATAATATCGATAGTCCTTCACGGAAGAACTGGAAGCTCAAGGTTAAAGAGGCACAACCCATGCCACCGTATCAATTCAGTAACTTGAGATTCTTCCATTCCTCTCTTGGCTTAATTACCAGGAGAGGCCCTTTAAAGAAGAGCATTTAGTTACATCCTACACCTAACACAGGCAAGTTCAAGACTCTTCAAGGGTGAAGAGAACAGCTCTCTATAAGTTACGTGAGAAATGATGCTACTCAGTCTTGTCATGAAATGAAGACTGAAAAAAAGATGTCTAAGGGCAGGATAGGTAGCTTTCTAGATTCTTTCAGGCTTAAGTTCTTGTGAGCAAGTTCCTTAATTTATTTGAAATACTGTCAATTCCCAGAAAGGTGATATTGCGATTCAAATGTGAGATCCAAAAAGTATTTCAAAGCCATAGTATTCTTAGTTCCCATGTTTTTGATACTGGGCCACCACTATTTCCATTGGTTAAAAAATTTAAAGTCCCCTGGAACCAAAGTGCATTTGAAGAAACATTATCCAGCAACTGTGTAGAGTAGTGGCTCTTTTTCAGACAGGACGTCAGACTTGCAGAGCTTGCTAGAGAGACAGACTTTTAAAACTACAAGGTCAAACACCAGCGTTCTGAAGTGAGACTGGGATATAATTCTCTGTCACTTGCCAGCTATTTAACCATGGGTTTCTCTGAGTCTGTCTTCCCATCTATGAAAGTGAATCATAACAGCTGCCTTGAAGAGTTGTTGTGAGAATTAAAACCACATTGGATAGGAAAGTGCTAAGAGTGTCTGGTATATAGCTAGGAGCGCAATAAATGCTTTCTCCTTTCCTGAATCTTCCTATGTCATTCAAGATACAGGCATCTGAACAAAATACAAAAAGCCTTCCTTTCCATTTGAATGAGGATTTATTTTTACATAGATTTAAGTCCTTTCTCTGTTTAAAAAAACAGACTTTGAATCTCCTGAAGAAGTGAGCATGTTGTCTTTATATTTTTTGTATCAACCTTCTATTATCTAATAAGGCCCTATGGATTTTTTGGGCACCCTAATCACTTTTAAATAAAGAAATCAAATGTTTGTTCCAGATTAATTACAAATGTAAAAAAGCATATTCAATCTTTTTTTTTTTTTAAAGCACTAAAAAGGGTTGCCAAGAACCTTTTGGGGAACATACTTAAGACAGAAAAATAAATTGCTGAAAGTAATCCTCCTACCAGACAAATCTCTTTGTTCCTTTGTAGCAGAGAGTGCTTATCAAACACCCAGTTTATGGAGTTTAGCTAAAGTGGTTTTGAATACCCTCCCAGGGGTGTTTTTTCTCAGAGGCTTACAGGATTCTGGTTACAGTGTAAAATAATTCACTGCTCAGAGATTAAACCTGAAACTGTGACCTGAAACTGTGAAAGGTGCCATATTAGACTAAAATTTACTGAGTATAGATTTAAAATGTAAAACTCAATCCCTGGCTTACCTTGTGCTGATTGACACTCCATATTCTTATGATTGAGTCTCGACCGGCGGTGAAAAGTCTGTTCAGTGCTGGATCCAGTTGCAGGGCATTGACTCCATTTCGATTGTACTTCTCCACTTCATCTCGAATAACATAGGAAACCTGATAAATAGGTCCAGATTTGCTTTTTATAAACTTGTAAGACATGCAATAGCTTACCTAGTAGCCCATCTGAAATTCAAAATCCCATGTTTTCCAATATAAAACTTGTTTTTCAAGTTTTTCAACAAAAACAACCAAAAATGTTAGTTTATTCTGTAGAGACTGAAATGCTGAGAAATGGAGAAGAATGACATTAATGGGATAGCCTAGGCCAGGATAAGCAGGTATAAAGCTAACTTATTGCAACTGCTTCCTAACCAGACTCCTCCCTACTCTTATCCGTCTTGAACCTATTTTCCACAAAGCAGCTGGGGAATCTTTTAAAAATGTAAACTGGAATGTGTTTCACCTCTGCTCAAAAGCCTTTTCAGCTGTTTACTCTCTCAGATTCATGATTTGATCTGAACTCCTTGACTGGCCTCAAGTGCCTTCCTCACTTTTGCCACTGATCTTTGCACACTTGCTAGAGATCTTTGCATACTGTGCCTCCAGATCATCATAGGTGCTGGCCCCTCTGTGCAGCTCTTCCTCCCACTTGTGGCAAATCTCTACATGTATTTAGATGATGTTTCCTCAAAAAGGCCTCATCTGACCTGCCAAACAAAATGAAGTTTTGTGCTCCTATAATATGCTCAACATTTCCTTCAGAGTGCTCCCCTCTGTTTTGCTCCTGTTGGCAGCCTGTGTGCTCCATGTGAAAACCCTAGAGAATTAACCAAAAGCAATTACAAATAAGAAAAAGGCAGCCAAAAGCAAAACGTTTCTTTTTTTTTTTTATTTTTTTTATTTTTTTTATTTATGATAGGCACACAGTGAGAGAGAGAGGCAGAGACACAGGCAGAGGGAGAAGCAGGCTCCATGCACCGGGAGCCCGATGTGGGATTCGATCCCGGGTCTCCAGGATCGCGCCCTGGGCCAAAGGCAGGCGCTAAACCGCTGCACCACCCAGGGATCCCAAGCAAAACGTTTCTAATCCAATTAAATATCTAGTTAAAAAACTGATGGGGGTGGGAGGGTTTGGGACTCACAATAGGAACAAGAGTAAATACCTAGAAGCACATTTTACAAGGAAGATACATAACCAAGGTACATAAAAGAACCACCTGAATAAAGGAGACATGCCATACTGTAGCAGAGGAAGATTCAAAATTAATAATTGTTTCCTTAAATTTGTGAATTTAACCCAACTTTGGTCAGAATCCTATCAGATTTCTTTCTAGAAGTTGAAAAATACAGAGTACAGTATCTCTGGGGGAATACCTAATCATTTTTAAAAATGAAAGGATTTTCTTTAAAGATCTTAAAAGGTGAAGCTACTAGAATTACAATGGAATACCACAACAGGAACATAGAAACATAGAAAAACAAACAAAACATAGAAAAAGAAACAGGATCAATAGAATAAAACAAGATTTGGGAACATATTTTCCTATTACAAAGTTTTAATTTTGATACAAATGTAGTGTTTCAAATCAATGGGGGCACGATAACCTCTTTAATAAATTATCTAGGAGCATCTAGTGATTCTACTGGGAAAAATTATATCCTTTCTCCAAATCTTAAACCAAAATGAATTTGCATATGAAGATTGGAATTTAACAATTCAATCATAAAAATACTTTTTTAAAAAGACAAGCAAATATGTATAACCTCTACACAGAGAAGGTTCCACTAATGTGACAAGAAACAGGGTAATCTTTTCAAAGAAAAAAACCAATGCTGCTCTGGGCAAACACAACTCAAAATCTTCCAAATGTACACAACTGCTCACAGCGGCATTATTCACAACAGTCAAAAAGTGAAAACAACTCAAATGTCCACCAACTGATGAAGAGATAAATAAGATACAGTATATCTGTGCAATGGAATATTATTCAGCTATGAAAGGCAGTGAAGTACTGGCACAGGCTTCAACATTGACAGAACCTTAAGAACATGGTAAGTTAAAGAGACCAGTTAAAAAAGGCCATCTATTTTATGAATCTATTAATGTGAAGAGTCCAGAAAAGGTAAATCTACAGAGAGAGAAAGTAAATCAGTTGCCAGGGGCTAGGAAGAGAGGAAAATGGGGGTGAATACCAATGGGTGTGAGGCTTCCTCCCAGAGTAACAAAAGGTTCTGAAATGGTGGTCAATGTACAACACTGTGTTTACTAAAAAGCACTGAATCATATACTTTAAATGGGTGAACTCATGTAAATTTTATCTCAATAAAGCTGTTATTCAGGGAAAAAAAATCTGAATGTCAAAAAATAAGATGAACAAGGTTAAAAGGTAAACATCTAACTGGGAAAATAGTGAAATAAATATGAAAGATAAAAATTTACTCTTGAGAACATTCAGAGTCTTTACAAAACAGTAAGAAAAAGTCAAAGCCTAACAGAGGAATAAAGATCACAAAGAGGAAATTTTTTATGAAGAAAAGAAAATGGCTAACAAACACATATATAAAAACATGAAAAGGCCCAGGGTTCCATGCACAAAGACAAGACTATTGTTTTTGGCCTAGTCTTTTGGGTATGGGTAACTATGGGAGATATTTATATTGAAACCAGCTTAAATTAAAAAGAGAGAGAGAGAGAGAGAGAGAATTCAACATAAAGATATAAGGATATCTATCAGAACCCAAGGGCAGGAAAGATGGTCATGACTCATAAGAGACATTTAAAAAATATTTTCGTGGCAATTCTCTGAAGCCTTCTAAATGTTTTTCACTTCATTAAAGCCCAAATTCCTCACGTGCTTTGGATCTACCCTGCATCTTTACACTCACCTCAAACTAACCCCGCCCCCCAGCTTCTTTCATGAGGATTACCCCAAACTCAGTTCTGTTCCTCAAATACATCAAGCTTTTTCCTACCTATTCAGGGCTTCTGAATTTACTGTTCCTTGTGCCAAGAACATCCCCCACCTCTATGATCCCCACAGGAATACCTCCCCCTGGCTTTTACCTTGTCTGGCTCATCCTGCCCCTTTAGGTCTTACTTAGCAGAGAAGTCACCTCTTCTGAAAGGCATCCTCCGATCTCCTTCCACCATTACTTACCCTATTTATTTCTTCCACGGTTCTTCACACTCTGTATTTCTCTTTTTTTGCTATATCTTTTCCCTTAGAATAAAAGCTTCAAGAGAGTATGGAACTTGTCTGCCTTGTTCCTTCTACCACTGTATCTCATTATAGTGTCTGGCATGGAAAAGACACTTAATAAATATTGTTGCATGAATCAGACACTGGAGAGCCAGCAGGAGCCAAGAAGGCTTCAATGTCAATTTCAATCTCTCTCAATCTCTTTTTCTCTGGGACTCTAAGGCCCCTTGTCTACTTCTCTCAGTACCCTTCTAAGTGGAAACTATGTTGCACGTAGGAATCTTAATGTTCAAATTTCTGGGAGATTATCTGATTGGTCCAATGGGAAAGATCAGACAATACCAACACGATTGTCAGGCCCTCATCCCAGGTGGAAAGTAATTCTTAGCAAAACAAATTCACACCTACCTCTTCAAGGGTATCTACTACAGATCTATGATTAAAAATGGTAAAGAATTAGAAGTATTCTAGTTGTGAATTTTGGCACACATCTTATAAATGAGAATGCTATTTAATCTTTAAAAACGTTGATGTAGATCTAGACTGACCAATACGGGAAGAAAGCCATGATGTGTTTTTTTTTTTTTTTTTTAAGAGAAATATGTATGGTCCAATAGAGTAGTGTATAATAGTTATTGTAAAAATGTTGCAGAATATTAAATGTATGTTTTAAAATAATACATGTTTGGAAGTATATACATCTATAAAACTACCAGTAGTTATTCCATAGTGATGGAATTATGGTGACTGTCACTCACTTGTGCCTTTTTTATATGGTATGGATGTTTTACAATGGATACATGTTAGTTTTTTGAATTTATAATTTAATTTCTGTCTAAGTAATTCTTGCCTGTATTCAGAAGATCAAATACTGTAGTACTGAAAGGATCATGCCCTGGGCCAAAGGCAAGCACTCTAATGAAAAACTATCTCCCTATTGTCTGGGTAAGACTCCCCGTACCCAGTCTTAATTCCTAGGGGTAACTAATTTTAGCTCCTGGTTGTTTCTGAAGAGTTACTGCATTTCTCAAAATATTGTGCTTATCCTGCAACCTTCTGGTTTATACATTTTAGACAGTATCTATTTACTCAGGCTATGGTAGACTGGGATCTAGCTCTGGACTAACTCCTCCCTCTACTCTTCTGATACAGATGTATCACAATTTTGGGGTCAATAAATCACCAGCACTACGCTGTTTGTCATTGCAATTGCTATCAACTGACTAGACAAGAACTATATTATGAATATATTTCCTTTCTTTAAAAAAATGTTTTTTTAAAGATTTTATTTATTTATTCATGAGAGACTCAGAGATAGAGAGGCAGAGACACAGGCAGAGGGAGAAGCAGGTTCCATGCAGAGAGCCCGGTGTGGGACTCAATCTCGGGACGCCAGGATCATGCCCTGGGCCAAAGGCAGGCACTCAACCACTGAGCCACCCATGTGTCTCTACATTTCTTTTCTTAGAGAGCTTTTTGTTTTCCCTGGTATTCTCCCTTTCTTTCCTTCTTCAGTGCCTTCCTCTACTTTAACTCCCCTTAATTGCAGCACCACATGAGATATTCTACCAAGACCCCGGACTACCCCATTTGCCCAGAAGTCTTTCCTCAGAAACACACATCTTTTCACTCTGGTCCAGGCGGGCTGCCCTCTCTGTCTGCTACCACACTTATCACCTTTGATGCTTCCCTTTACTGCTCTTCTGGGCTGGGTTATAGCTATTGTTTCCTGATTTCCAACCTCTCCTTTGTGTGTTCACTCCTCAGTTTTGCTGAAGCACATTCCCAGGACCTTAAGAAACTAACACAGGAAAAGATACACAGGAGGTGACTTAGGCCTCGCAAGCCTAAAAAAGTCTTTACCTTTACACTTGATTTGGCTGAGTGAAGAAGTCCACGTAGGAAAAACCCCTC